TGCTGATACTGGCCCCCCCACGAGGAGTCCCAGGGTGCTCAGTTCCTCAGCAGGTCCTTCCTCCCTTATTTATTCTCTTTTCTATTTATATGTGTGGTCTAGGACCCTCAGCAAACAGATGACAGAAGGCATCTCCTAGGTGACCCTTCTTTTCTGTACCAGGAGGGTAGGTAATTCCCAGGAAGGGTTCCCATACCTCCCTCAGGTCCCTACTCAGACCAGCACCAGTGTCTGCCTCTGAGGACATTGGCGGCTCATAGGAAGCCAGGCCAGCGCCCGGGATGGGGGGCAGGTACTCCCCACCTCCCTGCCTCCCCTCCTGCTCCTCATTCCTCCCTCCCCCTTTATTACCATTTTTGTACTTGATGATTTCTCCCTGAGTAATGGCTCAGTTTGAAGGAGGGAACCAGGAGCCTGGTGGGAAGCCTTCCCCAGAGAGATGGCTTGAGGAGCTTTAAAGACTGTGAATGGAGCAAGAGCATGGCTGCACCTCTGTATGTTGGGGGATGATGACGTCCATTGCTGTGTGATGGCTTGGAATTTAATTTATTAAATTAAAGTCAAATTGGAGTTTATAAACTGGGCAATTGCTTATCCTTTGAAAAGGAAATAGACTTTGGATTGAAGAATGGAAAGATGAGAGATAGGGATCCAATTAGTGAGATGGGGCAAATGTTCCTGCACTGAAAAAGGTACATGTAGAGAGGATAGAAGAAGCAAGAGGCCTGGAAGGGTGAAGTTGCAGCAAAAATGTCTTATTAGCTAGTCCAGCATCTTCATCCCCTTTTCTCAAGCAGGCTGCTCCCTCCAGGACATGGTAGAGTTCAGAGCATGGACTCTACAATGAGACTACCTGGATTTGAGTCCCAGCTCTGCTAATTACCTGTGTGAGTTTGGGCAAGTTATAAAATCTGAGTTTTCTCATCTGTAAAATGGGGACTGTGGTAATAGCAGCTACCATTCAGTTGTGGGTGAGATGAAAATGAGTAAAGTGCTTAGAAGTCTGCTGCACATCATCATTGCTAAGTAAGTATCAACTATTGCCTCAGAAGAAACGAGGAGGGGGAAGTCTTACAAGTGTTTCATCATAATAAAAAGTCTTATTCCTAATTGTGGGCAAGTTTTAGCAATACCAGCAAATTCTGTCCCTGGTTCCTGTCTTCCTGGATCTTATACAGACCTTAAACCGGTAAGCTGTTACTGAGTCTGCCACAAACACACTGAGTGACCTTGAACAGGACACTAGTCCTTTCTGAATCTCAGCTTCTTCATCTTTGACATAAAGATGATCTGAATAATCATTCAGGTTACTTTTAGCCTTGATATTCTATGACTTGCTTGCACCACAGAGGGTTCAAGCCATGTGCCTTTGGGTAGAGAGCATGAAATTGTTAATATTCCCTATGCTCCTGTCCATTTTAGTCACAGAAGATGGGATATTTAGAAGTGCAGATATTTAGTATTTGGTTAATTTTTATATAGTAAAATGTTCAAATCTAGGTCTTGAAAACTCAAGAGAGATTTTTCAAGCTGTTTTCTGTAGCCTGATAAATGTGACTTATAGTAGTTACCAAGGAGCAGTTTGTTTACCAGTATGATAGACAGGCAAACACCATGAACTTATAATATCATGGGAAACTTTTGTTGATGGAGGGCAGATCTCAGATTCCCACTGGACCTAGGATTGAATACATGGTAACTGGAAATTATACTCAGCTTGTGGTGCTGAGCACCCAGAGATCAATGCAGTCACATATTGTTATAGTGAAGATAATCCTGATCTCATTTCAAATATAGTAATTTTAAAAATTAATGCAGGGCTGGGATGTAGCTTGGTGGAGTACTTGCCTAGCACCACGAAAAAAGGGCAAAAGAAATATGAAATATAATTTCATCAACTTTATCCATTTCACACTTTCAAAAGAGATCCACCGTTTTTAATGAGAATGAATTATGCTTTAATTTTTTTGTAGCAGCTTTTAAGGAACAAATCTCAGGGGCTGGGGCTATAGCTCGGTGGCCGAGCGCTTGCCTGGCATGCGTGAGGCACTGGGGTTGATCCTCAGTACCATATAAAAATAAACAAACAACAACAACAACAAAAAAGACATTCTGTTCATCTACAACTACAAAAATTTAAAAAAATAACAAATCTCAGCATATGTCTGGATTATCCAGCCAAAATTGTGGCTTGTTTTCAACAGAAGCTGATTGAGGTGGAAGTAAACTATGCTAGACAACAAGACACTGCTTTAAGATGCAGAAACAGAGATTGGTCCCAGAGCAATACTGAAAGTTTGCTCTGAAACCTATGTTCACACAGCTCTGTAACTTAACTTTTTCTTCATGAAATTGCTAAAATAAAGCTAATGGTCATTTTCATCACTGAAAATGGAATTAAAACGAAATTGGCATTTCATGAAGCACTATTATAAATGTACTTCTGAATGAATAAAGTTGATAAAAAATATATTTTGTTATTTTTTAATTTTTTTTAGTTGTAGATGGAATACCTTTATTTTATTTATTTTTATGTGGTACTGAGGATCAAACCCAGTGCCTCGCATGTGCAAAGCAAGTGCTCTACCCCTTAGCTACAACCCCAGCCCCATGTTATTTTTGAATTATATTTTTAAATAGGGACCAAGCACCAGGTGCAGTGGCACCTGCCTGTAGTCCTAGCAATTCAGGAGGCTGAGGCAGCAGGGTCACAAATTTAAAGTCAGCCTCGGCAGTTTAGCAAGACCCTGTCTCAAAATAAATAAAATTAACAACAACAAAAAAACAGGACTGAGGATGTAGCTCAGTGGTAAAGCACCTCTGGATTTAATCCTCAATACCACAAAATAAAAGGGCAGGGGGCAACGTACAATTTATAATTCACTCTTGCATTGTTCAAAACAAAACTTATGCACAAACTGGACATTTTCTTTTCTCTTTTGCAGTCCTGGGGAACAAATCCAGGACCTCCCATATACTAGGCAAACATTGTACCACCACTGAGCTATACCCCAAATCACGATCCATTTTAATGCATCTCTAAACCTATTTATATTGAACATTTAATGTGTTTTCTGATTATATAAATTAGGTTTATTTCTAGGTTAGAAGATATAAAAAATTATAAGGGAATAAAATATCAATCCCAATGAATGCTAAGGTATATGATTTGTACATGATTTGACATCTTTTAAATTTTTTTCTTATTATTTAGTCATAGATGGACATAGTACCTTTATTTTATTTATTTTGTTTATGTGGTGCTGAGTGCCCAGAGATATACCCCCAATCATGATCTATTTTAATGCATCTCTAAACTTATTAAACATTTAATGGGTTTTCTGATTATATAAATTAGGCTTATTTTTAGGTTAGAAGATACAGAAAATTATGTCAATAAAATGTCAATCCCACTGAATTTTTGTAAGGTACATTATTTGACATCTTTTTTTAAATATTTATTTTTTAGTTTTTAAGTGGACACAATATCTTTATTTTACATTTATGTGGTGCTGAGGATCGAACTCAGTGTCTCAAGCATGCTAAGCAAGCACTCTCTTGAGCCATAACCCCAGCCCTATTTGACATCTTTTTAAAATTTTTTTATTATTCAGTCATAAATGGACGCGGTATCTTCATTTTATTTATTTATGTGGTGCTGAGGACCAAACCCAGAGCGCGTGCAAGTCAAGCACTCTACCACTAAGCCACAACCCCCAGCCCTTATTTGACAACTTGAACTGAGTAAATTACTAAATTTCAGCCACTGGACTAAGTGATTGGGTTATAAAGGTGAAGAAAGAGACATAATCCCTGTCCCCCCTCACTGACTAGACTAGTGTAGGATGCAGTCAAATAAACAGGTAAACAAAATAATATCCATAATGTGATGGAGCTGTACTGGGAAATACAGGAAAGGACTGTCAAGGAAAACTTCGGGGTTTGAAAAGAAGTATCTTCGCTGAGACCAGAATGAGTAGTAATCAATCAAATAAGTGTGAGATGGAGAAGGGGAAGATTATTTCAGGGAGCAAAAAGAGTAGGTACAAAGCATGAAAAGTGATAGGAGGTTAGATGCGGAGAAACTGAAAAAAAAAATGTAGGGCTCGGGAGTAAGAAAGGAGGTGGAGGAGGATATGATTTGAAAGGCTTGGTTTGGTTTGGGGGCTTTGCCCTACAGATAATAGAAAGCCTCTGAGTTATTAAAGCAGCGTGGCGACTTCATCAGATCTGTTTGTTGTTGTTGTTGTTTGTTTGTTTTTAAGATCATAGTGAGTGCTCCGTGGAGGACGCTGTGTAGCGAAGCAAGAGTGCATGCAGTTGGGACCAGCTAGATTGACGAGAAATCTGGGCTGGACGTCGTTTATGGATTTAGGACGGAGGCTGCAAAGATAAACGGGGGCGTATTTAAGAGATCCTTGTTTTAAAAGATAAAATCCGCAGAACTTGGCAATAGACTGGGTGTGAAAAGTAAGGGGAAAATGCAGATGACTGCAAGGTTTCTGACCTGAAAGAGTGGATGGATGGTATTGTCGTTCACTGAGCCTGCAGACAAGCGAAGCAGATTTGGGGGTAAGAGAAACGGGCACAAAAATAACAATATTTAAGACAGCTAAGGATGGAGACAGGGCCATGAGTTTGCGCCGAGCGGGTGGCAGCGCTGGGCAGCTAGCCTACCACACCTCCTGGAAGTTGCCCACGCAGCCAGCTAACTAAAGCAAGGAGTCAAAGAGCAACGAGACCCCGCAGGGCACCAAGCTCGAGCAATGCGCATGCCCATTGGTGCCGGGCGCCGAGTATGCGCAATAGGGGAAATTCAGGCCCCTAGACTCCCTGGAGCCCGGGCTCTGACCCACGCTATTCTTACCCGCATCCGGTTGCTCCTCACTCCCGCCGCGACGGCGAGCACCACCCACCGTTTCCGCCCCTTCCGTGTTTTGGTGAGCACGGGTTCCGTCAGAGGCAGCGACCATTGGCTGCCAGTCTGTCCGAGATCGGTGATTGGCTGTCGCTGGCCGTCGCTCAAACGCCCTCCCGGTAGATGGTGTGAGGTGGAGAACTGGAGAGCTCGGGAGCCGACGCTGGGTAAGTTTTGGCTCGGTGTTCCGCGGGGTTGGTGGCTCGGTGCGCTCTACTGGGGCAATTTAAGGCTAGGCTCTTCCTGAGCCTCCTAGCTGAGGTTTCCTCTTGCATCTTGGCCACGGTGTTCTGCTCTGACCTGGACCCCTCACCCCCACTCGAACCTCCCTGCTTTCTAGTCTGGGGGCTTTGCTGCCGCCAAGACTCGGTCACCGCCACCGTTTAGGGGGAAGGATTCCCGGAAGCCCGTAGGGCCGCGGGTGATATGTTTTGCCCTCCGGAAATATCTCTCCAAATTCTGCCCGTCCTTCAAGGCTTGGCCCGGGCCTCACCGCTTAGGCGAGCCTTTCCTGTTTTGTCTGCTTACGGGGGATTTCTGTCTTGATCACCCGCCTCGGGTGCTTTGTTTTGGTCGCTGTCTTCGATCTCTTCAGACAAATTGTGAACCTTTGGGAGTTTAGGACCGGGGCCCCTCTTTTTCTTGATATCATTCATTCAATGTCTTGGTATACAACATATGTCCTCTTCAAAGATTTGCTGAAGTGTTAGGAATCCTTTGGATTGCCTTTATTGTCCTTTTACCATAATTTGTGCTTAGAACGTCTCACGTTCAGAAACGAACATACTAATAGCTAACACATATTAAGTTATCGCGGTGTGTTAGGCTAAACGTTTTAAGATCCATAGTCTAGTTTTGGAATTCAGTGAGATGCGTATAATTAGCCCCGTGCTGTACAGAAAACTGAGGCTAAAGTAACTTGCCTAAGATCATGTAGTTAGTAAATGAGCTTTATAACCAGACCTGTTGAATCCAAAACCCATGGCTGTAATATTAGTATCCTGTTTTACATTTAAGGAAATAGGTTCAGAAAAGCTAAGTGATTTGTTCAAAATAAAATAGTAATTTATAAGCTTCCTTAAACATGGCAAAAGAGTTTGGGATGTAGTAAAGTGGTTGCCTAGCATGCTTAAGGACGAGTTTGGTTCCCAGAGCTTTTAGTAGGTATGTGCATGCCCTAAGGGTAGAACTGAATAGGGCACAGGCTTGACTTTCTAGGAGCCTAAGCTTAACTGGAGAAAACTGACAAAATAACTACTTAATTAAATATATTTTGGGTATCGTGTATATAAGTATGTTTGTGTAGAGAGGGAATAGGATAGGAGGGTTAAAACAGGCAGATGTAGGAGGAACATGGAGTCAAACCCTTAGCTTTAAGTTGTACCATCATGCCCTAGTTTTGTGACCTTGGGGTAATTACTTAGTCTTTCTGAGCCTATTTTCTTATCTTTAAAATGGGGTAATAAGAAGCTGGACATGTGTCTCAGTGGTAGAACATTTGCTTACCATGTGTGAGACCTTGGTTTGATCCCCAATGTAGTAAAATAAAATAGGGTAATAGGTCGGGTGTGGTGGTATACACTTGTAATCCCAGCCACTTGGGGGACTCAGGCAAGAGAATTGCAAGTTCAAAGCCAGCCTAAGCAACTTAGGGAGACCCTATCCCAAAATAGAAAAGGGCTAGAGATGTGGCTCAGTGATTAAGTGCCCCTGGTTTCAATCCATAGTACCAAAAGAAAAAAAAAGACAATAACAAAAAAAAAAATTAGTGCAAATAGTGCAGTAATAATAGTACCTACTTCAATAAGATTGTATTAATGAGGTTTTGTCATTGTTTTTGTAGTACTAGAGAGTGAACCCAGGGCCTGACCTACATTCTCAGCCCTTTTAACTTTAAGATAGAGCTTGCTAAGTTGTCTAGACTGGCAAACATAAGATCCTCCTGCCTCAGTCTCTCTAGTATCTGGGATTACTCAGTTTAATGAGTTTTTATGCTTATAAAACACCTAGGACTGCTTGGCATATAGTAGATATTTAATAGACAGAACTAAATTCATTGAGACAGGAAGCTTGAACATAAATTTCTGACAGCTGGTCCAGTGCTCTCAACTAGTATACTAGTTGTTTCATTTGAATTCCTTGCCTGCAGATTCTGTCCTACATTTCCCTAGGGTAGAAATAGAAACACAGAAAAATTAGAGGCAGGGGGGCAGTGAAAGGAATTGAGGAGCTTTGCTTAAGTTTCAGATTGTTCTAGATCTCTAGTTAGCCTGCCTTCTAGGTCTTTTTCACCAGTGTAAACCAGGTAGGTGTTTAGAATATTTGTGCTCAGAACTATGCTTAGCATAGTGTACATATATAGGCTGCTTGGAAGCAGCTTATTGCCCAGTTAGGTAAGCAGAAATAGAATACTTAAAAGGACCATGAGTGACCATGCGCAGCCTAAAAATAGGGTTGAAGTTTCATGGTGTTAACCCTTCAGCCATAGAAAAAAGAGGTAATAATAATTGCTGAAGGATGAGGTCATTTAGGAAGGCTTCCTGAAATGTGATCATAGCCCAGTATTTATTGAGCATCTAGGGTGTGCAAAGCTCTGAGCCTATCTGGGAATAAATGATAGTTCCTTTCCTGAACAACTGTTAACTGTAGTGGAGGCAGATGTTCCATTGCTTTGAAACAAGTGCTGCAATGAGAGTGTGTACAGAGTACTGTGGGCAGAAGAAATGGAATGTTTTGCATATACATGGATGGAATGGGAAAGAGGTCACCAAGGAAGGGACATTTGGTTCTGAAGGTTGAATAAAAGTTGCTTAGGCAGAGAGTTTTAGGAGAGTGTAGTACATTCAGGGACGATTGAATCAGAGAGGAAGAGAGGAGGAATGGATGGGTGAGGAAGCCAGAGAAGCAGTATGGTATATGGGAAAGAGCATGATCTTTGGATTGGAATTGAAGCTTTTCTACACCAAATGAAGTGAAGTGTGGAGAGAGTTCACAGAGCTCACACGCCATAGGCCCTCAATATGTGTTCCTTTCCTGGGCTGTTGAGGTAGTTAGGCCAGTGTGGGTAGAGTGGTAGGAGAGTTGGAAAGTTAGGGATTTTATTTTCTGGTTTCAGAAGGCTTTCCCTACTTTTCTTACCTCAACATTATAAAAGTAGTCAACATTTTCTCCTAATAGGGCTTCATTGTTAGTCTCTGAGCAACCCAGCAATGCTGTGTTAACTCGTGTCAAGGGTGACCAGATTCTTCTCTGAGGATGAGAAAAGACTAAGTATGTCCAGAGTTTCCATCTGTCTCAGACAGGCCACGGGGAGCAATGTCCTATTCTCTTTCAGGTCTATCCTTGAGAGTAACAAGAATCAGTGAGAAGGCTGGGGTCGTGGGTCAGTGATAGAGCATTTGCCCAGCAGGTATGAGGCACTTTGATTTGTAGCACCACATAAAAATAAATAAATAAAATAAAGATATTGTGCCCATCTGCAACTAAAAAAAAGTATTAAAAAAAATCAGAGTTTCCAACAAGAAGGTGAACTTCAGGCTACAAGATCAAGGCATTTTAGCATCCTCTCTACCACTGAACTATAGCCCCAGACCTTTTTATTTTTATTATTATTATTTTTGGTACCAGGGATTGAACCCAGGATTCCTTAACTACTGAATCAGATCCCCTGCTGTTTTTATTTTTTACTTTGAAAAGGGGTCTTGCTAAGTTGCTTAGGATGTCACTGAATTTTGCCAGGGCTGGCTTTGAACTTATGATCCTCCTGCCTCAGCCTCCTGAGCCACTGGGAAAACTGGCATACCAGTGGCATGCGCCACTGAGCCTGATTGTGCCCATTTTTATTTTCATTTTGAGGCAGAGTCTCACTAAATTGTCCAGGCTGGCCTTGAATTTGTGATCCTCCTGCCTTCCCTTGTAGCTAGGATCATAGGCATGCATCAACTTTGTTTTTATTTTTCTGATACACATATTTATTATATGTCTAAGTACACCCAGCACTGTATTTTTGGTTTTCTTTTCTTTTTTCTTTCTTTCTTTCTTTTTTCCCCCAGGGCCTCACACATGCTAGGCAATTAATCTATCAATAAGCCACACCTCCAGTCCTCTGGGAATGGACACTAAGGATGCAGTATAAATGGCGGGTGTTAAGAGAGTGGTGGAGTCGACCATTGGGTTAGGCAAAGACAGATTATATGACACTTTAGGGGCTGGGGATGTGGCTCAAGTGGTAGCGTGCTCGCCTGGCATGCATGCGGCCCGGGTTCGATCCTCAGCACCACATACAAACAAAGATGTTATGTCCGCCGAAAATTAAAAAATAAATATTAAAATTCTCTCTCTTAAAAAAAATGACACTTTAAAAGACTGGTTGGGGGGGCTGGAGATGTGGCTCAAGCGGTAGCGTGCTCGCCTGGCATGCGTGCGGCCCAGGTTTGATCCTCAGCACCACATACAAACAAAGATGTTGTGTCCTCCGAAAACTGAAAAATAAATATTAAAAAAAAAAAAAAAGACTGGTTGGGGGACTTATAATATGATCCAATAAGAAATAGGGTACTTCTAGGTTCATCTGAAGGCTATATTAAATATAAAAAATATGAATTTTGGAGTCACCCTGACCTGACCTAACACACCAGTATTATGTGGCCTTGGGCAAATCAGTTAACCTCTCCTGCTCTCAGGTCCTTATCTACAAATAAGGTTAAAAACAGTGCTTACCTTACAGGGTACTGTTGCCAATTAAATGTCATAGTGCAAACAAAATGTTTAACATGGTACCTGACATGTAGTAAATAAGAAATTCAGAACAAAAAGATCTGTCATCCCCATTCTGGCCAAAGTCACATAGCTAGTAGTTAGTATGCAGTGGGGTCTGGATTTGAACTCTGGTGCTTCTCCAAGTCGCCTCTTTGAACCTAAGCATTGTTCTTCCACCCATTGGAATAATTGTTTCTTGGCTGGTTGCTCTGAAGCTTTATGAGAAAATGTCTGCTAGAGTGTTTAGCTCAGTACCTGGTACATGCTCAACAGTGTTAGTTTTTGTTCTCCCTTCCCATGAACACCAGGCAGCTTCCTGGGGTTGGAGAAACTGCTACTCCATCCTTATTGAAAAAAGCACAGTTTTCTACAGGTCACTGGCAAAACCCTCATTGATTCTCAGCAGGCTGCCTGCCCAGATATGTGTCCCCAGCAGCCTCTTGGGTGGAATCTTTGCAACTATGGATTTCTTCCTGTTCTCTAGGGTGAAGGTCATGTCGCCTCCTGGGAAAGTTCCCCGGAAAGAAAACCTGGGGCTCCAGTGTGAGTGGGGGTCCTGCTCCTTTGTGTGCTCAGCCATGGAGGAGTTCTGTGAGCACGTCACCCAGCACCTGCAGCAGCATCTGCATGGCCCTGGGGAGGAGGAGGGAGAGGAGGAAGAGGATGACCCCCTTGGTAAGGAACATAAAGGGGAAGGAGCTTAAGGACAGGTGGAAAATCTGACTTTGCTTTTCCTAGAGGGAGAGGCAGCCTGGGAAAATGCTGGTTTATTTCCCTAATTGTACTTTTTTGTTTATAAAAGCATTGTAAACTCATTTATTTAAAAAAAAAAAAAACAGTCAACGAAAATATAGGGAATAACTCTTGTCATCCTGCCATCATGAGAAAATTACCTTTTTTTGTGTGTGCATGTTTCTGCTGGATATTGAACCCAGGGTATCGTGCATGCTAGGCAAACACTCTACCACTGAGCCACAATCTCAGCCCCAAGAGGCAGTTAGTTACTGACAGTACTTCTATTGAGCATTCTTTTTGACCTCCCTCTGCCTGTGTATATGTATATTAAATACAGATAAATGCACTTTTATATATTGATTGATTGTGTAGTACTAGGGATTGAACCCATAGGTTCTCTACCACTGGGCTATATCCCCAGCCTTTTTTATTTTTTCTTTTGAGAAAGGGTCTCATTAAGTTGCCCAGGCTGGGCTTGAACTTGCAGTCTTCCTACCTCAGCCTCTGGAGTCACTGGGGTTATAGTGGTGTGCCACTGCACCTGGCTGCTTTTATATTTTTTAAAAAGATTGCATTGTGTAATCTGTGGCAGGGTCTCCCTGCAATACATACACACTTTTTGAAAACTACAACCATCAGTTAGGTATATATATTTTTATGGCAACCTTGTACACAAAAATTTTGAAATTCTTGAAACAAAATACTTATTAAATGATCTCTGAAATATTTCTCTTTTATTTAAAAAAAAATGTAGTCTGCAGTCCATGTTATTGACTTCACCCCCTAATGGGTCACAGCACAGTTTGAAAGACTTTCCTACAGAAAATGTGGAAACCCCTGGGCATAGTCTCTCAGTGCCCTGTAAGCCTGTAATCCCAGTGGCTTGAGAGACTGAGGCAGGAGACTTGCGAGTTCAAAGCCAGCTTCAGCAACCTAGTAAGGACCTAAGCAACTTAGCAAGACCCTATCTCTTAATAAAATATAAAATAGTGCTGGGGAAGTAAATCAGGGGTTGAGTCCCCCGGGGTTCAATCCCCAGTACCAAAAAAGAAAATGCTGTCTTCCCACCTCAAAATCTGTTCTCCATCAGGAGACTGTGAGCTATAATAAAGTCAAATAATATTTATACAAAAGAGAAATTAGGGGATGGTTATATTTTCTGAAGTACCTACTTTCCAAAACAAGCAAATTCCTAAAAAGCTTTGAAAATAATGGTGCTTAGAGATACAAAAGAGATGGGAAGTGGGTTGGAAGAGTTGATGGGGCCTTCCTAGGCAAGGCAGATCTTCAGCAGAACAGGAGAGAAAGGAGGACTGAAGGTTTTCAAGGTTGAAAGGCTACATCTTTCTCAGGAACTGCAGAAACTGAGCAAATGCCATGCATGCCATCTGTACTTGTGGTCTCCGATTTTCTGGCATAGACCTTACACACACGGTTACCTCTATCTAGATCACATGTTTTCTTCACCTGTTTATAAATATTCGTCCTTTAGTTCTCAGCACAGGGACAATTCCCAAGACACCTCTGTATACATAAAATTATTCCTGTTTAATACTTTTATAGTACGTTCTCCCTCCCATAGCACTTATCACTAGTCACAGTTTAATATTTAGTTGTGATTATTTGATCAGTGTTCTTATTTCCTGACTGAAAGCTATGAGAGGGCAAGGACTAGCACTCTTTTTTTTTTTTTTTTTTTTTTTTTAAGAGAGAGAATTTTTTAATATTTATTTTTCAGTTTTTGGTGGACACAGTATCTTTATTTTATTTTTATGTGGTGCTGAGAATCGAACCCAGCACCCTGCGCATGCCAGGCGAGTGCGTTACTGCTTAAGCCACATCCCCAGCCCAGGACTAGCACTCTTTTACTCGTTATATTCCCAGTGCCTGAAACATAACTGGTAGTCATTAATTACCAGTATTTGTTGAATGAACTCATGATAACTTGATCAGAGTACTACTAAGTGCCTCAGGTGGAAGGCAAGCTGAGCCTTGGAAAGTATCAGACTCTTCCTTCTAAACCCCTTTCTGCAGAGGAAGAATTCTCCTGCTTGTGGCAGGAATGTGGCTTTTGCTCTCTGGACAGTTCTGCTGACCTCATCCGCCATGTCTACTTCCACTGCTACCACACCAAGCTGAAACAGTGGGGGCTGCAGGCCTTGCAAAACCAGGCTGACCTCAGCCCCTGCATCCTGGACTTCCAGAGCCGGAACGTCATTCCTGACATCCCTGACCACTTCCTGTGTCTATGGGAACATTGTGAGGTCAGCTGGCAGTACCAGAAATAGGGGGGAGAGGAAGCTGGGGATCTTAACTCAAGATACCTTGCCTTGACTCTTTCCAGGGTGCTTTGTATTTCTGCTAGTATTTCTCTAATTCTCTGTAGTGCCTTTCCTCAGTTTCCCATCCCTACCAAGTTAATTTGGGAGAGATCTGAGAAGTCCCCCTTTGGACACATAGGGGTAAGAGTCCCTCCACCCACCCTCCGTCCTCACCCCAAGTTGCCCTGGCACAGAGCTCCTTCGACAATCCCGAGTGGTTCTATCGGCATGTGGAAGCACACAGCCTGTGCTGTGAAAACCAAGCAGTCGGCAAGGACAATCACGTGGTGCTGTGTGGCTGGAAAGGTAGGGCCACCTCTTTGCTCTGGCCTCTGCCAGAAACTTGAGGGTGCTGAGGTGCTAGGGGAGCCAGGGGTAGGACCAGTCCTGCAGATAAGCCTCAAGGGGAGGGGTGGCTAGCCTGACTAGGCCTTCCTTCCTAGGCTGTACCTGTACCTTCAAGGACCGCTGTAAGCTTCGAGAACACCTCCGTAGCCACACCCAGGAGAAGGTGGTGGCCTGCCCCACCTGCGGGGGCATGTTTGCCAACAATACCAAGTTCTTAGATCACATCCGTCGCCAGACCTCATTGGATCGTAAGCAGCCAGAGAGAAGAGGGTGGTTGCAGGCTGTTCTGCTTGGAGAGGGGTTGAGGGCATTTTCCCAGGGGAGGTGGCCACTGAAAAGATCTGTACCTTGGCTACCTCCCTATTTTGGGTTCAGGTACTTCCCATAGTCTATGATCAGACATTGTTATACAGTTATCTAAGGAGTCCTCACAACAGCCCCATGAGGTAGGCTTCTTATCCCCCTTTTTGCAGATGAGGAAACTGAGGCTCAGAGAGGTTAAATCAGTTACCTGAGATCACACAGCTAGTAAGTGGTAAAACCGGACTTCCAACTCAGGTTCTCGACTCCAAGTCCCATCCATAGCTCCCTAAGCTCCCTTTTGTTCCTTGGGTGGTTCCTTTCTGCTGGGATGGTTCCCCTCACCTCTCCATGCCTCTCCACTGCTCTGCATAGTCCCTCTCTCTTCTGCTCACCCCACCCAGAGCAGCGCTTCCAGTGTTCTCACTGTTCCAAGAGATTTGCCACAGAGCGGCTATTGAGGGACCACATGCGCAACCATGGTGAGTGGCCTGCCGCCCCAACCTCCCTGCCTGCTCTACAAGTTTCTAGAGTCCTCAAATCTCAGCCTCCTCTCTGTTTCTCTCAGTGAATCACTATAAGTGCCCTCTGTGTGACATGACCTGCCCGCTGCCTTCCTCTCTCCGCAATCACATGCGCTTTCGCCACAGTGAGGACCGGCCTTTTAAATGTGATTGTTGTGACTACAGGTAAGAGGAACTAGGGGCCAGAAAAAAAAGAGCTAATTTTCCATGGTCTCCCACGCCCTTCAACCCCTTCTGACTTCTCCTGGCAGCTGCAAGAATCTGATTGACCTGCGAAAGCACCTGGACACCCACAGCAAGGAGCCAGCCTACAGGTGTGATTTTGAGAACTGCAGCTTCAGTGCCCGGTCCCTCTGCTCTATCAAGTCCCATTACCGCAAAGTGCATGAAGTGAGTGGGGCTGTTGGTGGGAAAGGGTTAGGAGCAGTGTGAGGGAACCTGGGGTGAAGAACTAGCCTCATTTCTCCCTCCCCTCCCCGTCAGGGAGACTCAGAGCCAAGGTACAAATGTCATGTGTGTGACAAATGTTTTACTCGTGGCAACAACCTCACTGTGCACCTTCGCAAGAAGCACCAGTTCAAGTGGCCCTCAGGACACCCCCGTTTTCGGTATGTCTTTTAACTCCCACCCCACATTCACATTTTTTTCATATATTTTCTTTTTTTATTTTATTTATATTTTGGTGGTGCTGGGGATTGAACCCAGGGCCTTGTGCATGCAAGGCAAGCACTCTGCCAACTGAGCTGTATCCCCAGCTCTTCATACATTTTCCAACAAGTTAAAAACCTTGAATTTGTTGGTTTGTTGATGTGTACCATCTGGGCTAGATGTTAGGCTAGATCCTGAGAATAGAGGTGGAGCAAAGATTGTTTTTCTGACTTTTTTTTTTTTTTTTAATCTAAGGCACAGTGCCAAACCCAGCAAATGGTACATAATGTCCTGTGACCAGAACTAGTGTTAGAACCTAAGGATCTTGACCCTTAGCTCCATGGTCTTCTCATAAACCCTTTGATGCTCCTGCCCTTTCATATAGGTGTCTCTCTCTGTCTCTCAGATTGGGTTTCTATATAAAATTTTTAATTTGGGGTAACAATTCTTCCCTTTTGTTTTTACTTTTACATAGTCCAATTTTTGACCTTTTGTCCTATCACTTTGAATCCTAGGACTTCCATCCCTCATGTCTGTCTCTTAACTTGCCAATATCCAGGCCATTTGCATCTTGCCTGTCTTTGCTGCTTCTCTTTCATCAGGTACAAGGAACATGAAGATGGCTACATGCGGCTGCAGCTGGTTCGCTATGAAAGTGTAGAGCTGACACAGCAACTACTGAGGCAGCCCCAAGAGGGATCAGGCCTGGGAGCATCACTGAATGAGAGCAGTCTGCAGGGCATCATTCTTGAAACAGTGCTGGAGGAGCCAGGACTTAAGGAAGAAGTGGAAGACCAGGGTGGGGGCAGCGAGGGGACAGCCCTCTCAGCCTCTCAGGACACCCCCAGCCCTGTCATCCACGTGGTGAATCAGACCAATGCCCAGGGCCAGCGAGAGATTGTCTACTATGTGCTGTCAGAAGCCCCAGGAGAGCCCCCCCCAACTCCTGAACCATCCTCAGTGGGCATCATGGAAAAGCTCCAAGGAATAGCTGAGGAGCCGGAGGTCCAGATGGTCTGAATGCTTCAGAGCCTACCCATTCCTACCCTGGGCCTTAGGGTTTGAGCCAGAAAGGTGGCAGTGTCCCTAGTGGGCAGTCCTTGCCAGTGGATGCCTTTAGGAGTGGTGCTGAGAGTAGTGTGGTCCCATCTGGCCCAGGCTTGCATCATTTTGCAGACTAAGGACTTCATTTTTTTTGCCACACTGAATTTTATAGGGCATCCTGGGGAGTTTGGATTCTTTGAGGGGATCCTGGATGGGTGTGTTCTTTACAGCAGCTGTTATCAGGCTTAACCATGAGCCCTTCAACATGCTGGACCTTGATTAAAATCCTTAGCTCACATCCATTCCCATATTTAGGACTCCTTAGGCCCATGGATGGTGAGTGAGTGGTCCTACATGGACCCTTTCCTCACCATCAGCTAAAACATTGAGATCCAGGCAGCCATTTTCCTCTTAAAAGTTCCTCCTACACCCCAGGGACATTTGTGGTTATCCTCAGGGACAGGATTGGAGGCACTGAGTATGTGACACTTGCTTTTGATAATAAAAGAAACACTTGGGCTGTTACTCATTTCTTCTTCATTAGGTAATGAGGAGATAAGCTGCCAAAGAGGAGCTGAGTAATTGCGCTTCTTCCCCTTTTAGTGACTCGTGGTTTGTTTAACAGTCATCTGTTGTTCTCCTTTGGTGGAATTTGTCCATTTCTTTTTAGAGCACTTGTCAGCTCCATGGAGGCCCCAGACACTTGACCATGAATGTAGATCTATCAAATGGATAAGAATGGGGCTCACCTAGGAAGGTAGAGCTACCAGGGCTGTACTCTTAGTCCTAATTGGAACCCCTGTTCCTCTTGGATAGGGTTTTTCACCTGTGGGACTGCTAAGGAAGCTTGGAAGAGGGTGGATTGGGATGCCTCCCAGGGAATGAATGCCAAGTACTTAAGGGGTCCAGGAACCAAATTAGAAAATTGTGCATCTGGCTGGGCATGGTGGTACACATCTGTAATCCCAGCATCTCGGAGGCTGAGGCAGGAGGATCAAAAGTTTGAGGCTAACCTCAGCAGCTAAGCAAGGCCCTGAGCAACTTAGTGAGATCCCCATCTCAAAAAGAAAAAGAAAATTAAAAGGGCTGGGAGCCAGGCTCAGTGGAGCATTCCTGTAATCCCAGCAGCTCAGGAGAATCACAAATTCAAAGCCAGCCTCAGCAAAATCAAGGTGCTAAGCAACTCAGACATAATAGGGCTGGGGATGTGGCTCAGTGGTCGAGTGCCCCTGAGTTCAATCCCTCATACCCCCTTCCTCCTCCCAAAAAAAGGGCTGGGGATGTGACTCAGTGGTTAAGTGCCTCTGGGTTCAATCCCAAATACCTTAAAATAAGAAAAGACAGTTGTGCCTTGATACATTTTCCTGGGGAAAAGATGTTTTTCATTAGATTCTCAAAGAGGTTGAAACCTTACAAAATAATGATTTCGTATCCATGTTCAGTCACTCCTCAGCACTCTGTTCCATTTTTGTGGTCTCTACCGTCTGGAGAGGTCAAGGAAATACTCTCAAGAGGTCTTGGATGAATAGTAAGCTGCCCAAAAAAGATTTCTGGGGGGCTGTGGCTGTGGCTCAGTGGTAGAGCGCTTGCCCAGCATTCATGAGGCACTGGGTTTGATCCTCAGCACCACATAAAAATAAACAAAGGCACTCATCCATCTATATCTATAAAAAAAAAATTAAGGAAAAAAGATTTCTGGGCCTATTTTCTATTTATGTGGAACTAGGGGGTTAAGCTCCGCTCCAAGATACTCCACTTCTGAGCTGTCTCCACCTCTTCTTTAATTGAGCCAGGGTCTCACTAAATTGCCTAGGCTGACCCGAACTTGCAATCTTCCTGTCTCAGCCTCTTGAGTAGGTAGGTGGGTGTGCACCACTGCATGGCTTATGGTTCTATTTTAAAGGACCTAATCTGCTGGGTGCTCTGGTTCATGCCTGTAATCCCAGCAACTCAGGAAGCTAAGGCAGGAGGATTGCAAGTTCAAGGCCAGTCTCAGAAACTTAGGCCCTAAGCAATTTAGACCTTGACTCAAAATATAAAAAGGGTTGAGGATGTAGCCTAATCATGAAATGCCCCTGCATTCAATCCTCAGTACCAAATAAACAAAGGATCTAATCTAATTCTCACTACAAAACTGCCTGATACAGCCATAATTAGAAAAGAATATTAATTCTGTCATCCATTTGCTGAGTTTCCACTATAGTCCAAGCACGTGTGCTAAGGGTACAAAGATGAATAAAACCCAGGACCCTCCCACCCCCACCCCGAAGGGACTTGCTGTACAGAGACAAGGAAGCACTAGGTAAGCAGAGTGATAGAAACTGACATTTAGAAGGCTCAAAATCAGTAGAGGTTGGGAATGTAATTCAGTGGTAGAAAGTGTATGTGAGGCCCTGGTTTGATCCCCAGCACTACACAAAAGTGCACAGACACAAACATTGGAATAGACAGTATTGCCTGGGCAAAAGATTAGGGAACAGGAAAGGCTTTACCCAGAAAGAGACTTCCTCCTGACCAAGACCAAATTAAGACTTCAAAAGACAGTCCTGAAAAGATTATGGTGACCCACATTTCATCTGTATAATTCAAACAAAACATTAAGCCATGAATTATATAATATCTGAATATTTGAGTAGATACCCTGTCTTATACTTTCTTAAAGGTGTCAGGCAGGGAGCTTAGGAGTTGGAAGCTGGTGCCTGTTTCATCCTACTTGGGGCAAGTCCACAATCAGAGAAGGGCACTGAAGTGCTAAGTATATATGAAAGAGAAGTGATTCTCCAAGGTGAGAAGAGAGGACTAGTTAATAAGGAATAAGTTATTCCAAACCTGTGAGATTATGACAGTGAATATGGGCACTTAATGAATGTTAAATGGATGAATGAATTTTGCTCAAGATTGGGAAGTGAATGAGGAACATACCCATTCCCTGTACAGTAGCAGAAGGAGTTAAGGCTGAGATGGAAAGGTAGGGGAGATTGTGAAAACTCCATATTATGCTAAATAGCTTGGATTTCTTGGTTAGGAAAGAAATATGGAGGGCAAGTAAATAAATAAAACTTGGAAAGGAATGGGAATATCTCTGTCCCTATGGAGCTTAGGGTTAAGTTCCCAAGGGGAAGGGACTGGAGTATATTTGAGGGTCGAGGAGAAAAAGCCAGCGAGATTTAGAAAATACAAGAGAAGGAATATTTTATAGAGTAAGATGCTAGATTTTGAGTGAAAAAGAAACAGAGAGGAAAAAGATAATACTTGGAAAGGACTGAAGATTCTCCCTTGAGAAAGAAGAAGGGAAGAATGAAAGTGGGCATAGATTTAGTTTGTAGGAGGTGTGAGTGGAATGTCAAGCTTGGCAGTCTCTTTTTTCTTGATAAATTAAAGTTATCAAGGGGTAATGTGTTGGATTAAGAAGATTATAAGAAATGTCAACTTTCAGAAATGCTATTAAAAGATGAGTGCTGGGTATGGTGGTGCACACCTGTAATACCAGCAATCTGGGAGACTGAGCAGCAGGACCACAAGATTGAGGTCAACGTGGGCAACTTAGACTCTGTCTCAAAATAGAAAATAGAAAAAGGGCCAGGGTTGTACCTCAGTGGTAGAATGCTCCTAGGTTCACTAGCATCAAAGAAACAAAAAAGTATAGAAATAGGCGGGGCATAGTAGCACACACCTCTAATCCCAGCTAGCTACTCAGGAAGCTGAGGCAGGATCACAAGTTTGAGGTAAGCTTGGGCAACTTAACAAGACCATATCTCAAAAATTTTGAAAGGGCTAGGGGTGTAGCTCAGTACTAGAGCACTTGCCTAGCATGTATGAAGCCCTGGGGTTCAATTCCCAGTACCAAAAAAAAAAAAAAAAAGAGAGAGAGAGAGAGAAAGAAAGATATAGAAGTAAGACCACCCAAAGACCCAGCTAAGACTGAAAAACAAGATGAGGCAGTGGCAACCTCAAAACAACCATATGACTTCTTGGCAGCGGGTACTAGCATCTTTGAAACAAAATAGAAGATACACTACAAGGTAGATCTACAGCAGTGGACAGGGCATGGATTATTACATGGTCCCAAGGAGCTGGGAAATAGAGTAGCTGGAGAGGGATCATGAAGTCCAAACTGGACAGGGAATGTCTGGGAGACTGAAAGGTAGTAGTTAGAACCAAAGCATGGGAGGTTTCAAAAGGCTTCTAAAGCTTAGCAGGTAGAAAGGAAAGTTCATGGTCAGAAATCAGACTTTTTTTTTTTAATTTTTTGAGAGAGAGAGAGAGAGATTTTAATATTTATTTCTTTTTTAGTTCTCGGCAGACACAACATCTTTTGTTTGTATGTGGTGCTGAGGATCGAACCCGGGCCGCACGCATGCTAGGCGAGCGCGCTACCGCTTGAGCCACATCTCCAGCCCAAAAATCAGACATTTTAAAATGGAGCTATTTAGGGTCCAAAGGATGACCACAGGGGAGGTAAGCTGCTAAGTGAGACAGGGGTCACTGGAGTAGAAGAGACCAAGGGAAATAAGGCATTTTGAACACCTACTAGCAGTGCCCTGTCTCATCAGCCCTGTATTAGGGGAAGGGCAATAGGCCATAGAGCAAAGCTAGGTGGGAAAACGCCTGATTTAAGGCTTGTCCCCCCCCCCCCAAAAAAAAAAAAAAAAGCCAAAGACTGTGGAGGAAGTTCAGGTTCTTTTATTTAAGTTTTAAATTTTTATTTTTATTTTTTGGTACTGGGGATTGGACCCATTGAACCACATTCCTATCCCTTTTTATTTTTTACTTTGAGACAGGGTCTTGTTAAGTTGCTGAGGCTGGCCTCAAACTTGCAATCCTTCTGCCTCAGCCCCTGGAGTTACTGGGATTACAGGCATGTGTCACCATGCCCAGCTGCAATTAAGTTTTTTGTTTGTTTGTTTGTTTGTTTGTTTGTTTTGAGAAGGAGTCTCACTATGTTGCCCAGGATGACCTTGAACTCCTGGACTCAAGTGTCTTCCTGTCTTAGCCTTCCAAGTAGCTAGGACTATAGTACATATCACTACACCTAGCTAATAAAGATTGAAAAAAGGTAACTGCAAAGCCCACCTAGTCCCCGAGAGATTAGGAAAGGCAATCAGTAGTTGCTCCTCCACAGCCCCCGATTCACTGTCTGCCTCTGGGAACCAATAAGAGAGAGTAGACTTTGCTGCCTTACCCTAAGATGGGTCTGAAAAAGGAGAGGGCTCTGTCAGTCTCCTTTATCCAGTCCTCCTTTGCAGACCTGGGTTGCACATCCCAAAATGACCAGTAGAGGGCCCTCCCATTGACAAATATTTCAAAATCTTTCTGTCTACAAATGAAATTCACAATGGGGCAAGGGATAAAAGACTTCAGAGTGGTGGAAGCAGAGCTGGGCCAGTTGACAAGTCCCCAGTGGAAGTCCTTTCCAGATCCTATAGGACCTTGTCACCCTCTTTTTACCCACAAGACTTTAAATCTCCTTACTAACTGCTTCTCCCACAAATCCCTGCCCAGAGCAGCCTGAGTCTGTTAGATTAGCTCATGGCCCTAAGCTAAGACAAGAATTTTCTTCTGCCTTGCTTCTCTTAAGCCAATTATCATCAATCCTTGTTTGTGTGGGTTCAGGGAACATGCTCAGAAAGGATGTTGGGCTCTGGTGTAAGAGTTGTGACCATCTTTGAGAAAAGGGAGGATCAATCTCAGAGAATGGAAGGAAAATTGGGGAGGGTCCATTTGGGCATTATATAACACAGAGGGTAGCTATGGTTGACAATAATTAATTGTGTATTCCAAAATAGCTAGTAGAGGACTGGGGATATAGCTCAGTCAGTAGAGTGCTTGCCTTGCATGCACAAGGTCCTGAGTTCAATCCTTAGCACACACACACACACACAAAAAAGCTAGTGGAGAGGATTTTGATTGTTTCCAACACAAATATGATAAATTTGTGAGGTAATGGGTATGTCAGTTACTCTGATAATTACACATTGTATACATGTATTGAAATATCACAGTCTACCCCATAAATATGACAAGTATTATGTGTCCAATAAATTTATTTTTAAATGGGAAAAAAGAATACAGAACTAGGAAAAGATATTGATATTGCCAAGGTTACAAAGCATATCTTTTTTTTCTTTAACCTTTTTTATTAATTTATTTTTTTATGTGTTGCTGAGGATCGAACCCAGATCCTCACCATGTACTAGGCAAGTGCTCTACCACTGAGCCACAAACCCAGCCCTCAAAGCATATCTTTTGACTACAGTTCAGGATGCGGAAGATCTGTTCACAAAATGGGGAGAGGGTATCCTAGAGAATGGGGAAATTTGTTCCAGAGAAGAAAGGGTTCTTTAGTGGGGCACAGGCACATGGCAGGTTTTTTGTTTGTTTCTTTGTTTTGTTTTGTTATGGTTCTGGGGATTGAATCCAGGGCCTTGTGCATGCAAGGTAAGCACTCTACCAACTGAGCTATATTCCAAGCCCTCAGGGGCTCAGGGTTCTAACCCAAGGAATGGAAGTTTCATCTAGGTTAGTGGCTCTCAGCTTTGTCTGCTCAGCAGGATCACTGGGGGAGCTTCTAAAAATACTAATGTCTGGGTGCCACCCTTGGAGTCAGAATGACTGCATCTGGAGTGGTATGTGGACAACTTTTGAAAATTTTCCAGGAGATGCCAACTGTCAATCAAGGCTGAGGACCACTGTTCTAGGATATGTTCTAGTATAAATCCCACAGTGTGGAAAACTGATAGAAGACATGGAAATGTTGGTCTCAGAAGATGGTGACTACATTCCTCAGAAAGGGTAGGAAATTTTCCTGGGAATTGAAAGTTATGTGATAGGGAATGGGGAGGGATGGTATTAAGAGATAGGGATGGGCTGGGGTTGCAGCTCAGTGGTGGAACACTTGCCTAGCATGTGTGAGGCACTGGGTTTGATTCTCCGCATTGCAAATAAATAAATATCTATTGACAACTAAAAAAAAAAAAAAGAGGTGGGGAGGATAAGAAGCCTGTTTAGAAAATGAATGGAGATCATCCATTTGGGTATAAGGCTCTTAAAGGACCAATTAGCAGAGTGGGTAAAAGCAGGGGCTTTGGGATTCAAGTCCAGCTTTTGCCTAGATGTTCCCCTTGAGCATATTGCTTAACTTTCCTATGTTTCAATTTCTTTATCTCTAAAGAAGGGCTGAAAAACCTACCTCATTCGAGATATTATGAGGATTAAATGAGAAAATGCCTGGTGCATCTGCAGTAGTTGTTAAATAAATCCAATTGTTGGGGGATCAGGGCTTCTGGAAGTTAACTTGGAGAATGCAGGGCCTATCTAGAAAATGGGAAGGTTAGTCCTAAGGAATGGTGGTGATGTGGGGCAGCGGGTGGAGAGTAGTTAGGAAAAGAAAGGTCCAAAACCCACATAAACTTCACAGTTACAGGGTGGGGCCTGGAGATGCCCTGTAGGGGCCGCTAGCCCATCAAGCTGTGGAGAAGATGCTGTGGGGGGAGTGGAGAAGTTTGACTGCTAGTAACCTCTCTGCTGCTGCAGTCTGGAGAAACCTCAGTGGTGGAAGCAAAGCCAGCAGCCTCTCTCCCATCCGTCTCTGCTGTGTGACAGGTGGGAACTTAAAAGCTCAGGTCACGTGTCTTGGCTGGCTAACCTACTTTACCCCTTGAAGACACAGAGGCTGGGGCAGGCAGGGGCTGAGGGCAATGGGCAAAGGTGGGACTGAGGGAGAGGGAATTCCAACAGCATTGCGGGGACAGAAGGCTGCAAGCTTGTAGGGTGAGGGAGAGAATGCACATGTGCATGATGTCCAAGGCAGTGTCCATGAACCCTATGTCCTGACACACAGATGCCTTCAGGATCAGCCTTGTGCTTGTTTTGGAGACCTGAATTGGCCTGACAGAATAAAGATTTCTACAGTCAGAGCAGGCTGAGTATGGGTACCAGTTTAATATTGGAGCTGCCTGCAACCTCTCCCCCAAGACCAATCTTTTTTTTTTAAGTCTCATACAAGTTTAATCAACATTAATTACCCCAAGTCCAATCTTAACTAGTGTCCTCCTCCTTAGAGAGGGAAAGTGTGAATGGGGTTGGAAGAAGGATATCCCAATGTCCGAAGACTCCCGCTTCTTTGAAATCTTTTGTGCTTGGTTTGGGGATGGGAGGGGCTTTAGCTTAATAGCTAGAACCGGGGAAAATTGATGGGGATAGGTTCTGTGTGCGAAGACTGTCAGCTTCACAATCCCTTAGAGTGACGGAATGTGCGCCCCACACCCCTCCACTACCATTGCCTAGACTATATTCCAGAGATCTGTCCCCCTCACTCTAACTTTCTTATCGCCCCCAAGTCGATTCTTCCCTGCCAGCCCTCAGTCCTGGGTCCACAAACGCCTCCTCCGACCCTCGCGCCGCGGGCACTGCACTCGCCTTCGCCATCCTAGCCCCCCGAGGGCTGTGGAAAGGCACGGGCCCTTTAAGAGCGGCGGGACCGGCGAGCAGTAGCTTGGAGGAGAACGCAGTCGCCTGGCGGGTTCGGGAGGACACCAGCGCCGGAGACCAGGCTCGGGGATCTGGTGTGCGCAGCCAAGCGAAGCAGGGGCGCGACCCCAGCCGCCCCTCCCCACAACCTTGTCATCTCCTCTGACCCGGGGCCGGGCCCTCCCCTGCTGCTCGTCCCTCCCCGGCCCCGCCCCGGCCCGGGCCACCGGGACCCGGAGCTGGGGCGCCGGTGCCGCAGCCCGAGGCAGGTAAGGAGAGCCCGGAGTCTCCATCTCTGGCCGGTGGCAGCGCTAAGCATCTCTGCCCGGCCCGGCCCTGGGGCGCGTCAAGGTGACTGAGCGTGCGGGAGATGGGGCGGGGGGTCTCGCCCACCACAGGGGTGCTTACTTAGCGGTGGGGTGCGCCTGTCTTTGGGGATAGTCCGGGACGCCCCGGGCCAGGGGCGCCGGCGGGAGGGGCCGGCGGAGGCTTATCGCCAGGCTTGGGGAGGGGGATGCAGTGGGAGCGCAGAGCCGCCTCCTCTCCGCCTCTGCCGGTCCACGCAGTGCTCTCCCTGCCACCCTGACCTCCTAGTGGGCAGCCTCCGCCGGCGCCCTCCCCGCCTCCACCCCTCCAACATCCAGTCCCCGGGGGTTTGCTGGCCTGCGGGGTAAGGAGATTAGAGGCGCGGGGTGGGGGGAGGAGCAGCTCAGGGCTTGTAGGGGCCAAGCTAGGGCCTGACTGGGGCCAGACGGGGGCCAGGGGGGCTGGGGCTATCCCAGACCGAGAAGAGGTGGGGACTGAGCCTCGCTGAGTGGGGAGGGTGGGGCGAGGGGGAGGCAGATCACCGGACGAAGAGAGGGGTGCTAACAGTTGGGGATGTGTCCTGAGAAGCAGGCGGGGGAAGCGGGGGCTGGGCGGCATTAGACAACAGGGAGCTTTGAACTGGGGTTGGGGGATCTGACCTAAACAGAGCAGGCCCTTTCTCTGCAGGCCAGCCAGCGGGCAGAGTGATGGCGGAGAAGGCGTTGGAGGCAGTGGGCTGTGGACTAGGGCCAGGGGCTGTGGCCATGGCCGTGGCACTGGAGGACGGGGCGGAGCCCCCTGTGCTGACCACGCATCTGAAGAAGGTGGAGAACCACATCACAGAAGCCCAGCGCTTCTCCCACCTACCCAAGCGGTCAGCGGTGGACATCGAGTTCGTGGAGCTGTCCTATTCCGTGCGGGAGGGGCCCTGCTGGCGAAAAAGGGGTAGGGAGCAGCCTGGTGGGGAACTGTGGGCTCTTTAGGAAGTGCCTCTCAGGAGCAATGAAGCCTGGATAGCCCCTGCTTTGCAAGTTTCTCAAGTTGGGTACTGCTGGGCCCTGCAGGAACGCTAAAATCTGGACCCCAGCCCCTCCCTCGCCATGCACACGGTTGAGGTACCAGGATCCCTGCTTCCCACATCTGTGAACACTTGTGGGCACCAAGTTCAATTAACCAGCTTTCTCTTCTAAATAGACCCTATGACCTCTGATCCTTGAGGGGTCCTTGATGAGTTTTCCTTTGTTTATTTTGGAGGATTCCTGTCTGTGAGGGATGGTATGTAAAGGGTGTCTGCAGGGGTCCTCAATTTTTAACTATCCCCTTGCACCAATTTTGAAAGATGTGCTCATTCTTGTCATCTTACTTCATTCTTGCCACAGTCCTCCCAAGAGAGAAGGGTGGAGGTTTGGCAGGATAGATGTCATCCTCATGTTACTAATAAGGAAACTGAGGTTCAGGGAAATTGAGTCACTTAACCAATATTGATTCCACAGCTAGTAAGTAGCAGAGCTGAACCAGAAGCCCAGTACAGGAGTTCCACCTCTTTCCCCTTAGGACCAGTTTCCCCATCCCTGAGTCCCTGACCACCTTTTGTATCCCTACTCTGCACATGTGAGCTGGGAATGGAAAGGCTGGGTTTGTTTCCCAGAGCTGGGTGTGGGCCAGGGGTGGAGCCGGGGTATTGTTCTCTGAGGCTTAAGAACTAGGTTTAGGGTGCTTCAGAGCCTGAGCTGTCTCTTCACTCTACACCCTTGCTTCCATGGGTGACCAAAAGGCCACAGGGTGTGAGTCGATGGAAACTGAGGCATCTGGGCTCCCTGCCCAGTGCCTGATCCCTGAGCAGTCTCTTTGTGTCCTGAGATCAGCTCTGGGCAAAATGATGAGGTACTTGTTATTTCCTTGGCCCTCTCATTTCTTCATAACTTTAAGCAGAAATGAAGAGAAATTTAGAAATGTGGCTTGATGGGCCTGCTCTCGGCCTGCTTCTACTCATCAGCCACGAGTGGGTGTCCCTGACCAGGGATTCTCTCTCTTTTTGACCTTGCCAGCCTCATTTCCGCTTCACTGGCCATTTTGCCACCCCTTCCCTTTGCCCCCTTTTCTGCTCTCTGCCCTCCTCTCTTGAGTTCTCTTTTCTCTGGATTCCTTCTTCCCTTCTCTAGAGGACAGAAAGCAAGTGGGGCGGGGAGGGGGGGGGAGAAGGAAGGGATTTGGTAGGGGGAGAGTTCTGTCTCTCCCAAGTAAGGCTTATCACTGCTCTCCCCTAAGTGTATATGGCATTTCTTATTTTTCAAAACACTTTCCTATTCATTATTATTAATGATTTCACTTAATATTCATAATAACCCTATTAAGTCCTTGGGAGAAGATATTACTATCCTTCTTTTACAGATGGGAACAGGAGGCCCTAGAGATTAAGTGACTTGACAAAATTGCAGAGTTATTGACCGAGGCAGGACTAGAACACTGATATCTCTCCAGCCCGAAGGCCTGGCAGGCCCCTTGCAGGCTGAGCAGCTGTGGCATAGCCAGAGTCCAGACATCTGCATTCCTAGCCACTTGGAAGCTGTGTGACCTTGGGCAGGGTGCTTAGCTTCCCTAGGCCTCACTTTCCCCATCTGTAGATAGGGATGATAATACTACCCACTGCACAGGCTTATTGGGAGAGCTCTGCTGAGTTGGTATTTGTGAAAGTCAAGTATGTATGTAAGATGATATTTATGCTAGACCAGCACCTGGCTGTGACTGAATGAGGGGAAAGTTCATCATCACCATTTTCTTCCCTTTCACAAGAAATCACTTCCTGTGAGTGGCTCTGAAAAGCTTAGGCTAGGGCATGCCACTGCTGGGTTTCTGTTCTCGCGACTAAAAGGCTCAGGGGTCACTCCAGTTAAACTGGGCTAATTGGGCTGCACGAAATAACCACACAAGAGACACAAATACCTTTTTCTTTGGGGTCGCTGTGATGGTTCCTCTGACCTTAAGGGTCCAAAGAAAGAGAGCAAGAGCACGTGCTGACCCCTTTTATTGAGGAGAAGCTATTCAAATGAGGCAAGGGGTCAGGTTTCAGGGGGCTAAGTCTATCTTCATGATGTCCACTGTCAGCAGGTTGACTGACACCTGGGTAGGCCACACCCAAGGGCACAGTAAGAGAAGGGGACACACACAAGGCACTTCCATGGAAGATTCTATCCTAAACAGGGCAAGGGGTTATATTACAAAGGAACAGGTGAGCGTAGCTTCACCCATAGGGCTGTAGCAAGACACACCCATGCATGAGACACTGACCCTCAGACCCAAGAAGGGTGGGGAAAGCTCTGCCACATTTCTGCGACTGAGCGCCTCAGCACCCAGCCGGGGAGTGTGACTCAGTCACATGCAAGGATGGTCCCCCACACCGTACATCTTTCTTGTTTCTTTTTTCCTTTTTTGTTATTGGGGATTTAACCCAGGGATGCTTTGCTACTGAGCTGCATCCACTGCTCTTTTTATTTTTTATTTTGAAATAGGGTCTCACTAATCTGCTTAGAGCCTCACTAAATTGTTGAGGCTGGTCTCAAACTTGTATTCCTCCTGCCTCAGCCTCCCGGGTTGCTGGGATTACAGGCACACACCCCTGTGCCTGGCTCACCCAACATCTTTCTGATTGATGTGAGGATGACTAAGGCAGAGGGTTGAAACCCATGACTTTCTTACCCAGAGAATTTGCAGTGTGACCTTGGGTGAGTCACTTATGTGCCTGGTCCCAGTTGCCTCATTCATGTTGTTAAAAGAGCCTCTGACGGAATGAGCACCATCCAACTGATTGGTGTGTTCAGGCCCACGCAGTGGGCAGGAGGTTATCCCCCTTCTAACAGGATGTGCCCAGAGGGACAGCTGGATGGTGGGTTAAATAAGGTACCCATTCACTCTCTCTGTTATAGAGGTAGAGTGAAGAGGGGACTGAGCTCTGCAGGGTTTGTGGAGGGTACTAGGTGAAGGATAGGGGCTTGGTGTCTCCTCCTGATCAAGGCAGGTCTCAAGCACAGTAGGAAAGTCCCTCCATATTGGCTTCATCTTTCCAGGTAACTCTATGCAGTCTCTGCCCTCTATTCTCTGGAATGAATACACACATATATATTTATACACACACACACACACACACACACACACACATACTCGTATACATACATGTTTTTTGTTGTTACTGTTTTGTTTTGTTTTTTCCCTAGAGCCGAACAGCCTCTGTCTTTTGAAATCTTGCTCATCTTTAACTTCCACCTCTTCCAGGAAGCCCCTCCTGCTTTTCCCCTTCCTTTCTACCCTTATCAATTCCATTTGCTATAATCTCCTGGCACATTGTTTGTACTTCTGTTATAAACCTTACTTTACTTTTCTTCAGATTATCCATGATTTCTTGTCTGTCTTACCTAGATGATGACGCTCTTGAGTGCAAACACTGTTCTTCCTTATTTTGGGGGTGGGTGGAGAGTTTGGTATATAGTAGATCTCAATAATCATTTGCCAAGTGAAATTAATGATACAGTGTCACCTTTTGTGTATGTGTGTGTGTGGTAGGAGGAATTGACCCCAGGGCCTCACACATCCTAGACAAGCACTCTACCACTGAGCTACATTCCCCCCAGCCTCTTTTATTTTTATTTTTTGAGCCAGGGTCTTGCTGAGTTGACCAGGCAGGCCACATATTTGCAATCCTCCTGTCTGAGCCTCCCAAATTGCTGAGATTACAATTATGTACTGCCATGCCCAGCACAATGTTGCTTTTAAAAATCACACTATGTGCCAAGTTGCACTGTGTCATATGCTTTACATAATTATTACATTTAATTTTCCTAACAACCCTATGAGATAGGCACTATCATCCTCATTTTACAGACAAGGGACCTGGAGCTCAGAGAGGTTAAGCAACTTGCCTGAGTTCACACAGCTGGTAAGTTTAGAGTCAGAATTTGAACCTAGATCTGCCTAACTCCATACTGGTGCTCTTTATGCATATCCCATTGAGTAAATGAAAAGTGGGATTTCATTGGGCCATGTTAGGGGCTGGAGAGACAAGCTTGGAAGAGTGGGAAAACACAAAGAAGGCAATTTTTCCAAAATGAGGCAAAAGCTCTGAGAATACATACTTATAGAATGGACACTTACTGAGGATCTACTACATGCCAGACAGACTGTTAAGGTTACAAAGATGAATAAGACACAGGCCTTGCCCTTAAGGAGCTTACTAAGAGGTTGGGAAGGAGGGCAAGTGACGGGCACATCAGTTAACAGACATGCTGGCATACCAGAAGTGCTGTGGGAACCCAGAGACAGTCAACCAGCTCAGACCGGATTGGTATGAAAATCTTCCCGGAGGCCCTGAGACAGGGAAGAAGAGCAGGGTTCTCTGGACTTTGATTCCTCCTCTGCAGCTGTCGGTGAGATGCACAGGTATTCCCACAGCCTTTGGACTTTGACATTAGTGGGTGCCATTTCTGAAAGGGCAGGATGAGGCGAGACTTTGGGTCACTTTCGGGGCTCTGGGGGGGTGCCTCTTAACCCAATCACACTGAGCAGGAACTACGCATTTCACTGATCACCACAGGGGTGCCTCTGTTCACTACAGCCCTGACCAAAAACTCCTCCCTTCCTCACTACAGGTTATAAGACTCTTCTCAAGTGCCTATCTGGTAAATTTTGCCGCCGGGAGCTGATTGGCATCATGGGCCCCTCAGGGGCTGGCAAGTCCACATTCATGAACATCTTGGCAGGATACAGGTGAGGACAAAGATGGGGAAGGATGGAGACAGAACTCAGAAAGAAGAGTCCATTGGGGATCACAGGTGTCTTGAAGTGCCTTTGACCCTTGTCCTCAATGGATATCCCTGCAGAGAGTCTGGAATGAAGGGGCAGATCCTGGTCAATGGAAGGCCGCGGGAGCTGAGGACCTTCCGCAAGATGTCGTGCTACATCATGCAGGATGACATGCTGCTGCCACACCTCACGGTGTTGGAAGCCATGATGGTGAGGGCTGGATGGCCACCCTCTTCCTAGCATCCCCTTCCATCTGCTGCCTGCATCCCCTTCCTCAGCTGAGGGGTCAAGGCAGTACCACCTCCCACACATGCATCTCTTTCCTGCCCTCTGGGCCCCAGGTCTCAGCCAACCTGAAGCTGAGTGAGAAGCAAGAGGTGAAGAAGGAACTGGTGAGTGGGACAGGGGAGGCCTAGGGACAGCTGCCCTCTGTGGGGCTAATGAATTGTAGGACCCAGAGTCAGGGGCGGAAGTGTGGCAAACAAGTGGAGACAAGGGGCTTAAGGGAGATTCTTTGTGAAGTCAGGGTGGTGCCTGGGGGAAACTCAGACTCTGAAGCTGACCTGGGCTGGGTGGGGGTGGGTCCAGGTGACAGAGATCCTGACGGCACTGGGCCTGATGTCCTGCTCCCACACGAGGACAGCCCTGCTCTCTGGTGGGCAGAGGAAGCGTCTGGCCATCGCCCTGGAGCTGGTCAACAACCCGCCTGTCATGTTCTTTGATGAGCCCACCAGGTAGTTCTTTCCCACCTCTCACCTCAACTTCCCCACCCCTCAGCCCAAACCAGGACCCAAGGCTGCATCCTCTATGTGGCTGGAGATTAGAGCCCCTGTTTGCAGCCTCCTGAGGCCAAGATAAGGGCCGACTCCTCATCTCCATCCTCACCAATCCTGTTGTAACAAGCAGCCCCATCTTCACCCAGGCAGAGATCTGGATGTTTCCTTTGATTGTTGCCTCCCTCTCCTGTCCCCCACAGCCATTAGTCACCAAGTCCTGTTGGTTACACCTCCTTTTGGTAGCTCTCAAATTCGCTCTGCCCATCCCCAGTGCCCATGTTTGAGTTCAGGACATCATGGACAGATGTTCATCTCCTCGTCTCCAGTCTCTCTCAAGCGATCCTTCCTCCAGCCTGCAGCCAGAGCTGACTTTCTAAAGACAACTCTGGCCTGACCCCTCCCCTCCCCTTCAAAATATGCAATGAGTCTCATTTACCCTCAGAACAAAGTCCTGTTCTGAACCCAATTCGCCAGCCTCCTGTCTTGTATTTTATGCTCTAATAACACTGAGTTGCTTGTAACTCCCTGGTCAAACCATGTGCTTCATGCCTCTAAGCTTTGCCCATGCTGTGTCTTCTGCCTAGAATGCCCTTCACTGCCGCTCCTTCCCTTTCTCCTCACCAGCTCAGCTCTCACTTCTTCCAGACTCACTCAGGGATTTTCTCCCCAACTCCTCCCCCAGCTGCCTCTCCCCCCCCCCCCGCCTCTCCCCCCCACCCCTGCATCCGGCCCATTGCTCCAGCACCTCCCACATTCCCTAACATCATCCGTGAGCTTGTCTTTCTCTCCCTCCAGACCAATGTGGTATTTCTGCATCATCCTAATCACACAATAGGTGCATACAACAGGTGCTCAGTATAGGCTTGTTACATTTTACAGTGCTCTGGGCTTCTGGGGGTACCTCCAAGTGCCTGAGCCTGTAGGTCGTATAGGATATGGGGGTGTCCAGTTCTAGCCCTTCACAGGAGTTTCCCCACCGTGCACACTCCCTCTGCTTGGCCCCACCCACCTCACCAGGCCCGCTGGTGGCCTCTCTCTGGACAGTGGTCTGGACAGTGCTTCTTGTTTCCAAGTGGTGTCCCTCATGAAGTCCTTGGCCCATGGGGGACGTACCATCATCTGCACCATCCACCAGCCCAGTGCCAAGCTCTTTGAGATGTTTGACAAGGTGAGTGTCCGTGGGCCTCAAAAGTTGGCCTGAGAAGGAGGGATGAAAGGGCTCAGTGGAGGTGCTGGCAGGGCCCCTGCCTGTCCACTGGTTGTGTTTTCTTCATCCTTCCTTTCTGCATCAGCTCTACATCCTGAGCCAGGGTCAGTGCATCTTCAAGGGCATGGTTACCAACTTGATCCCCTATCTGAAGGGGCTTGGCCTTCATTGCCCCACCTACCACAACCCGGCTGACTTCAGTGAGTGGGGACAATGGCGGGGGTTAGCATACAGTGCCAGGCCAAACCTGGGGGTGAGGGCATGGGTTCAGGCCTCCTGGGGACAGAGGTCTCACTGTTACCTGCCTTAGCCACAGACCCAAGAGTGGTTGACTTGCCCTTGGGAAGCAAGGATAAATCTTAGCTGAGCCCTGTGCTCTGTGTCCCCAGTTATTGAGGTGGCCTCTGGAGAGTATGGAGACCTGAACCCCATGCTGTTCAGGGCTGTACAGAACGGACTTTGTGCCATGGCTGAGAAGAAGAGCAGCCCTGAGAAGAACGAGGTCCCTGCCCCCTGCCCCACTTGCCCTCCGGTAAGTAGGGTGGAGAGGACAAAGAGGGCAGGGTGGAGAGGGGAGATGGGACCATGGGTGATGCCCTGCCACAGAGGGACACATGATGCTGTCTCCCAGAGGCACTGGGTACCAGGAGGAACCCGGAGTTGGAATGGACCTACTCTTTATGGCTTGTGTGACTTGGGCACTTTGGCCTCATTGAGCTTCAGTTTTCTCATCCACTTATTCATTCAGCAAACTCTTTCTGAACATTTGTCGGTGCTGTCCTCAGTGCTGGTATGGGCCCTTCTGGTAGGCAAAACCAACACAGTCACTGGCCTCATGGGCCAGTGTGGCTTTCTGTCATCTATAACTTGGAGGTGATGATACTTAACTCACAAGGAGGCTGGGAGGACCCCACAGATAGCACACAAAGCTCTCAGGACACCCCAGGTTTTTGCCCAGTGCCAGGTCTCTTCCTTAGATGAGATACCCCTTGGTTATAGTTGTCATTTTTATCATTATTAAATATTATTGTGAAACTGGTGGCCTTAAGGACTTAGCCTTTTGGGTTAATATTAATGATTAGAGAAGTGACTGTTCTGCCCTGGTGAGCTACCACAGGTGTCCTAAGTGCCTTTCCATCTCCTCTCCTCCAAGCTTTTATACCCTCCTCGCCTCCCTTTCACAGTCTCTCTGAGCCCCGCCTCCAGGTGCCTGCTTCACTGGTGAGGTTCTCCTTCTGCATCCTGGGACCCTCCTTGGGAAAGGCTTAGGGTTTTCCCACGCACTGAGCTGGGTGGGTGGCAGGTGGGTGGGTTAACCTCACCTGGTCCCATTTCCTCTCCCCAGGAAGTGGATCCCATTGAAAGTCACACTTTTGCCACCAGCACTCTCACTCAGTTCTGCATCCTATTCAGGAGGACCTTCTTGTCCATCCTCAGGGACACGGTGAGGCATCAAGATGGGGAACAGGAAGCATAGGTCTAGCCTTTGGGGCTATATGACAGCAGCAGGTGGAAAGGGAATTGGGGTCCCTGCCCACAACCCTCCAATGCACCTCTGGGTCTATGTAACCCCCAGGACAATCCCAAGTTATCACCCTAGTGTTGCCTGCCTATCCCTGGCCTGGGACACATCCCTGTCCTGTGATGGTACTTCCCACAGGTCCTGACCCACTTGCGGTTTGTGTCTCATGTGGTGATTGGCGTGCTCATTGGTCTCCTCTACCTGCACATTGGTGACGATGCCAGCAAGGTCTTCAACAACACAGGCTGCCTCTTCTTCTCCATGCTGTTCCTCATGTTTGCTGCCCTCATGCCAACCGTGCTTACCTGTGAGCTGAGTTGCCTAGGGTGTGCAGTGTGGGTGCTGGAGCAAAAGGCAGAGGGGACAGGGGGTTGGCCAGTGGTGCCTGATCTGCCTGTGCCCTCAGTCCCCTTAGAGATGGCGGTCTTCATGAGGGAGCACCTCAACTACTGGTACAGCCTCAAAGCGTATTACCTGGCCAAGACCATGGCCGATGTGCCCTTTCAGGTGAGCCTTGTACTTCCTACCTGCCCACATCTACCAGCTCTCTTGCCCCCTCCTTCCTTGCTTGCCAGCTCCCTTAACCTTCTGGCCTTCTGCCCTTTCTCTTCCTTCTATTCACTAAGCAAATAGATGGTACATACCTTCATGCACCAGGCTGTACCCAGCCACTAATGATACGGCAACAGATTAGACTGATGATAGAAACTTTGTTCTGTGTAACATTTTAGTGGGAACAACTGGCAGCCAACAGAAAATGATGATAATAGTAACCCTGCAAATGACTCTAAATCTTCTTAAGGGTAGGAAGTTTATCTCAGTGGTAAGCACTTTCTTAGCATGCATGAGGCCTGGGTTCAATCACAAGCACTGAAAAAAGAAACAAAACAAAACAGATCTTACTAGAGGCGGTAGTATAGGCTCTGGACCCTTACTACCACTCGCAAGATGCAAGGCACTGGGCAAGTCACCTTTGCTTCAATGTTCCCATCTATAAAATGGAATGACGACCCTAACTACCTCTGGATTATTTGAGAATGAAATGACTGGATGAATGAATGCAAGGTTCTTAGAATAGTGCTTGGCATATACTAAGTGCTCACAAAATGTTAGCTAATTTTATTATTGCCACTATCACCTTGCTCCTACCACATTAAAAAAAAAGTTCTCCTTCCTCAGAGTGGACACTTCACTGTGTCAGAGCTCAGGGAGAAGAATACAAACTGGATCTCGGCCTCTGCTTGGGCACGTTTATGCAAGGAACAACTTGCACAACTATACCTAGTGATATAGTGGGCTCAGTCCCTGCTTCTAGGAGTTTCTAATCTAATTTTTTAAGTCATCTAAGAAACTCACATTTGTAGTTTATAATTCAAAACTCTACAGAATTTCCAAATCATAGTCTTTCTTTTAAAAAAATTATTTTTGGGGACTGGGGTAGCTCAATGGTAGAACACTTGCCTAGCATGCATGAGGTCCTGGGTTCCATCTCCAGAACTGATAAAAAATTGTTTCCTTTTTGAGGTTTACAACATGATTATTTTGGGGGGTGGGTACCTGGGATTGAACTCAGGGGCACTGGACCACTGAACCACATCCCCAGCCCTATTTTTTAAATTTTTTTTTTTTTTTTGAGAAGAGAGAGAGAGAGAGAGAGAATTTTAATATTTATTTTATTTTTTTTTTTAGTTTTCTGCTGACACAACATTTTTGTTTGTATGTGGTGCTGGGGATCGAACCCGGGCCGCACGCATGCCAGGCGAGCGCGCCACTGCTTGAGCCACATCCCCAACCCTCCCCAGCCCTATTTTGAATTTTATTTAGAGACAGGGTCTCATTGAGTTGCATAGTGCCTCACTGCTACTGAGGCTGGCTTTGAACTCATGATCTTCTTGTCTCAGCCACCCTAGCTGCTTGGATTCCAGGCGTGCACCATGGCAACCAGCTAAAACATGATTTTATGGGAAACATATAATAGCAACATGAAGCAAATCAACATATCAGCTAAAATGTATCCACTTAATAATATAATTTTATTAATAGTCTCCAGGTTGTATATTATATCTCTGGACTTGTTGATCCTGAATCTGCTTCTTTGTGTCTACAGAGTTGATAGACTTCAGGAGGAACAAAACACTCTCCTAAGGAGAAATTAATTCATTAATAACATAAGAAAAAATTTTTAAAAATATGAGGAATGAGCTGGTGCAGAGAAGAAGGACTTTAGGCACTCAGAGGAGGGAGAAGTCACTGTGCCCAAACCAGTTAGAGAGGCCTCATGAAAGAGATGGTTTGGGAAGATGAGTGAGGTTCACATAGTCAGGGAGAAGGGGGACATGTGTCCATCTGGGGACAGCATGAACAAAAATGGAGGCAGGATAGGCATGGGGAATAGATGTTCTAGGGGCTCATTCCCAGGTGGAATGGAGGATCTTGGCCACCATGCCCATGGCTCCAAGTTCCCTGCTCAGCTCTGTGCCCATTCTCCAGGTTGTGTGCCCAGTGGTGTACTGCAGCATTGTGTACTGGATGACAGGCCAGCCAGCTGAGACCAGCCGCTTCTTACTCTTCTCGGCCCTGGCCACTGCCACTGCCTTAGTGGCCCAGTCTTTGGGACTATTGATTGGAGCTGCCTCCAACTCCTTACAGGTGGGAAGGTTGGCATGTGAGGATTCTCAAGCGGGGATGGGGTATCACGTGAGAAATCAAGGGCTGGCGTGAGTGGGATGGACACTTGGGCAACTGGGCCACCCTAGTCCTGGTCACCCCTGTGATGGCCTAGCTCCCTTGCCTCCCCTCCAGGTAGCCACCTTTGTGGGCCCAGTTACTGCCATCCCTGTCCTCTTGTTCTCTGGCTTCTTCGTCAGCTTCAAGACCATCCCCACTTACCTGCAGTGGAGCTCCTACCTCTCCTATGTCAGGTCGGTGCCTCTTTCTCCCTGCCCTCCCTGTCCTTCCCCTCTACTCAGGAGCGCCTGCCTAGCTCCTACTAGGCTGTGCTGTCTGGTGCCTGCCCCACCACCCTTTGGGCAGGGGCACTCTGGTTGGCCCCCAGGGATGAGGTTTGGGGTTTGGTGATTTGTTGAGAGAGCAGGTTTCCTGTGCTGTGTACTGCTCTGATGCCCCTACCTGCCTAGGTATGGCTTTGAGGGTGTGATTCTTACCATCTATGGCATGGAGCGAGGAGACCTGACATGCTTAGAGGAGCGCTGTCCATTCCGGGAACCACAGAGTATCCTGCGAGCGCTGGATGTGGAGGATGCCAAGCTTTACATGGACTTCCTGGTCTTGGGCATCTTCTTCCTGGCCCTGCGACTGCTGGCATACCTTGTGCTCCGTTACCGGGTCAAGTCTGAGAGATAGAGTCTTGCACCTGGCCTGTGCCCAGCCCCCGCAGCAGTGCACACCCAGCCCTTTGGGACTGTTTTAACCTTGTAGAACTTCGGCACTGGTTGCTGGTGCAGCCACCTCCCCTCCCTCAGCTGCTCCACAGGCTGGCTGGAGGACTGTGCTCCCAGCCTTGGCCCTGGGGGTGGGGGCTCCAGCCCACCCCACCACACCCAGGAGTCTTCCCAAGTTGATGCGGTTTGTAGCTTCCTCCCCACTCTCACCAACACCTGCATGCAAAGACTGGGAGGCTGCCCCCCCTTTCTGCCCACAGCACTCTCTTCTGTTGTCTGTCTTGGAGACCCAGGTTTTATGGGGCTTCTACTTAACAACTGACCAAAGTGGCTCCCTCTTGGGGGGGGGGGGTCCTCACCACACCAGTGTTTGAAAACCAGGCTGCTGTAAGGTTAGAGTTCCAGGGCTAGGCCCTGGGGGTTGGGTCCCCTGGGAGTCCCATTATGGACATTGGGATGGAATAGAAAGGGACTCTGGAAGTCTCTCCTCCCCACCCCCAGACCCTGGCTTATGTGGACAATCTGCTATGACAGAAGCTGGGCGTTCTGTCTGGGTCACCACTCCTAATCCTGGAGATTGGAGAGGCCATGGGAGATCTCATCCCCCCTCCCTATAGCTTTGGTGGGGGGGCAGGGCCTGGTGGCATTTTTGCAATAACGTCTGTGTTTCTTTCCCACCTGTCACTGGAACTGGAGAATGCACTTTATTCTGGGGGGGTGAGCAGGCGAAGACCCAACCTTCCTTTCTTGCTGCTCCTGACACACACAGTTCCACATGCTCCCTCCCCTCTCCAGAGTTACAGGCACATACACGCAAACAGGCAATCTCAGCCCCACACATGCATCATCCCCTGTGGTTCAGAGGAAGAGTGATGGTGGCGTGGTGGTGGCGGGTTCTGTGGGGAAGGCAGTGCCAGCCTCCTTTCTGGGGATCCCACTTTGGAGACTCGAAGGATGAGGCTGATTCTGCCCAGGGTGACTCCTCTCCAGGATTGGTAGGAGTCTACCCTCCAGTCTTCTCTCCCTCCAAGCCAGGGGTGGTACACAACAGCAGCCTTCTGGAGTTGAGGACCCAATAATAAGCACAAGCATGGGAATAAGTTGGCTTGGCCACCGCCATCCCACGGCCCTCCTTTTGCACTCCAGGCTGGTATTCCACTGTCCTGCCCCTTTCCTGGCCAATTGCTGCTCATTCCAACTCTGTCCATGTCTCTCCACCTCCTTCCTATTAGCAGGTGGCCCCGGGCATCAGAACACTGTGCCCTGGGCACCAAGGTGGCAGACATACCTACAGCATGTCTGGCTTTCCTGGTGGGTCTAGGCTCCTTTTACTCTGGTTGCCCCTTCCCCCAGGGTTCTTTTCCCCCTTATTCCTATATACATACCTCTCCACCTTCCCTCGCCCTGCCACAGATTCTTCTCATTACACAGAGATGCCAGTTGTATTTGTGGGATTTCATCCATTATTAATAAAACCTATATTTATACAGTATGCTGTGTGTGAATGTGTGTGGGTTTGACACTCGGTAACATGGGCTGTAAGAGGGTCTTCAGAGCACTTGGTAAGATGTCAGCAGGTTTAGGGAGACTGTGGCAGGAGATGGTCCTGGACTGTCAAGCTAGAAAATGAATATCTTTTGAAATATTTGTATCATGCTTTCCATCTTACCAATGTTTCATGTTCCTTATTTCAAGGGAGGCCCATGCCAACCCAGTCCTATCTATCCTTCATGACAATCTCACATTGTCATGGATTGACAGATGAGAGAATTGAAACTTGGGCTAAGTAACTTGCCAAGGGCTCTCAGGTAGTGGAGGTGGAACTAGGCCTAGAGACTAGATCCTCTGTCTCCAGACTCACTCTTGGCATTGATCAAACTCCTTGTTCGTGGTGGATCTGCATGCTGCATGTGGGTACCCTGTATCTGTTACATGGATGTGTTCTTGTTCTTGCCTTAGTGACACATGACTCTCTTCGGGACTCACTGAGTTCCAGCTGTGCTCATGGAGGAGGGTAACCTCATCCTAGGATGGGAGTGGCAGGGATCTCACTGGGCTTAATTCAACTTTTCCTTTTCTTCCTACTCAGTGACCCTTCCCAAGGCTGAATCACTGCCACCAGGACTTCAGGCCAGAGGTTTGGAGTAGGTAAGATTTAGAGGGCCTTGAGTACTAGTGGCAGGACAACCCAAGAAGCAGCACATTGTCTCACCCTCTGCTCTCCTTGGCCTGAAGCCTGGAGTTTGAAGGAAGGCACTGGCACCAGTCCTGCCAGCCGCCTGGCACCCTAGGACTGTGGTTTAATATGACTGGTTGGGTGCTCAACTTCAAATGGACTCACTTTATATCCTTTGTGGGTTTGTTTGTTTGTTATTTGCAGTACTGGGCATTGAACCCAGGAGTGTCCCGCTCTTGAGGTGCATTTCCAGTCCTCCATTTTCTTTTTTTTAAAATATCTTTAGTTGTAGATGGACACAATACTTTTATTTTGTTCATTCATTTATTTATTTTTTTATGTGGTGCTGGGGATCGAACCCAGTGCCTCATGCATGCTAGGCAAGTGCTTTACCACTGAGCCACAACCCCACCCCTCCAGCCCTCCATTTTCTATGTTTTATTTTTGAGATAGTTTCTTGTGAAGTTGCCCAAGCTGGCCTTGAACTTGTGATCTTCCTGCCTCAACCTCCCAAGTCACTGGGATTATAGGCATGCATTACGATGGCCAGTTTAACCATTTCTTTTATAGTTTGGGGCAAGAGTAGGAAATGGGAATATATCCTACTTCCTGGAATTCTCATTAGATTTCAGAGACATTCTGGAGACTCCCTTTATCCCTGGAGTGATGCCAATAGATGGCTCCTTACAAGTCGAAAGGCATCAAGTGTCAGTGTCAGGTATTCATCTTATCCGGGAATGGTGGCACATACCTGTAATATCCGCAACTCAGGGGGTGGAGGCAGGAGGATTGTAAATTCAGGGCCAGGCTTAGCAAGATTCTGTTTAAAAATTAAAATTAAAAAGGTCTGGGATGTAGCTCAGTAGTAGCAAATACTCCTGAAAGGGTTAAAAATGTATAAATTCATATACTTATAATTCCTTCAGGAGCTAAAGAAGGCAAACATTCTGGACACTTCAAGGGTCATTCGGCCCAGAGAACATTTGTGGATTGGTATATATATTTGCAAAAGAAGCTCTTTTGATTCCTACAGCAACTCTGTGAGGTATCTCAGATAAGCAGTTTCATCTTCTCCTATTATAGACAAGGAAACTGAGATTAAGAGAAATGACTAGAGCAAGCTCTCAGGACCCTGTGCTCTTTCCACTGTGACCCATCTGCTATGCTTCCCACTAGTACCAGTAACCTGCTGCATTGGGTCATAAATGTACCCTGCTCATGTAGGTAGGTTTGCAAATGAGCCCTCTTTCCCTAAATGCCCACCTTTCAGGACTCATCGATCATGTTCATTAACACAACCACCTTCTCTGTGTCAGGGCCTAGGCAGAGTACTGGAGGGCAGAGCTGACCAAGGCAGTTCTCCATGCCGTGGTTCTTAGAGCACCTGGCATTCCATCCTGAGGCCAGACAAGAAAAGACCTGCCCACAGCATGATTCATGGTATTTCTGTCTACAAGGGGCCAAATTATATGTTATTAATAAAACCTATATGCCTGTCATACCCTTGGGGGAGGGGAGCAGCTTGCTCTGAGCTACATCCAGGTGACAGTCTGCCTTGCATGAGTAGGTAAGTGGAGTGATACTAGAGGAGTTTCCCAGGAAAATATCACCCCTGAGAACATTCATAGGGCTGTTCTACCTCTTCTCTCCCTGTCCCATTCAACTCCCCTTAAAGAACTTCTCGTGCCAGTATGCTATTTCCCCCACAGTCTGTAATGCTGGTCTCTTTCCTGACTTGTTTTTTTAACATCCAGTTCAAATGTCACCTCCTCTGCCAGAAGCAGTTAGTAACTTCCTCTTTCATGCTTTCCTGATGCTTTGACTTTGTCTCTGAAGTACATCATTTGTGAAAATACTGGTCTGGCCCCTGCATGCCTTCTTCTGACTGACAGCCCAGGGCCTAGTGCTGGGCCAGGTAGTTGAGGATGAGGTGCTTACTACTAATTCAATACCGCTGTTCAACGAATGGACGAATATCTACATGAAATATCAACACTGTCTTCAGTTGTTCCAGGGGATAGACCACAAAGCCTTCTTCCCATTCCTACCCTGGGGAGCCTCTCAGGAGTTCCTTGTTGCACATATCTGTTCTGTGCATATTGCACACTTATGTTTGCATCTGGAGGTGTGCCTTGGCTGAGGGCAATGGGTGGTTCTTCCTGTGAACTAGGTGAGTCCTGGGTGTTCCTCCTGTGGAAGCACAAGTATAAGGGATAAGGGCTTAGAGGACCCGGAAGCCCCAGAGCTAAACCATGATGGGATGTCAGACAGGATTTGCAGGTTGGGGTGGGAACTGTCCACCAGCCACAATTCTTCCTCCTTCTTGATCAAAATGACCAGAAGTCACATACAGAGGTCTGGGGCCTGAAGAGGGCCAGATATAAAAGGGAGGAGCTGGGAAGGGCTCAGGTCTCTGCCTGGAAGTAGGCTAAGAAGGGAAGGAATCCCTGGGGATGAGGTTCTCAGAAAGTCCCTGAGGGGAAGTAGGAGGACCCAGGATCCATCGGCTTGTTGTGTCTCCTGTGCTTTACAGTGGATCAACCTGCACAAGTCATTTCACCCCTCTGAGCTTCAGGGTCTTCGTCTGTAAAATGGGCGAATCAACAAGCCCAGCCTGAGAGGTGGTTAATGAGGTCATTGGACGTGACTGGCGCTTGGGACCTGCAGGGGGCAGGACAGCTTCAGGGCCCGCGGGGGTTGAGAGCTGTGCCCACGGGAGGGGGGGGGCGGGGGCAGGCTGGGTGGGGCAGGAATCTCCGCCCCGAGCGGCTCTCAAGGGCCTCCTCTGTCGGGACCCCGCAGCCCTAGCGCCTAAGCTGGCCTGCTCAGGTCCCGGCTACGCGGGGATGCCAGGGCGGGCGGGGCTCCGAGCAGGCGGGCGGAGACGGCAGGAAGCGCAGCGCCGCGTCGCATCCAGCGAGCCTGGGACTCTGGGAGCCAGCTGGAGACGCCGGCGTCCGTCCCGCCGGGCCGCGGTGACCAGGCGCGGGTAAAGGCCTAGTTGGCTCGAGCGCCCCTCCGACCCCGGCTGGGCCGCTGCGCTTGGCCCCGGCAAGGGCGCGCCGGGAGCCGGGACGGGCAAGTGTCACTGGGAGTTCGCGGTCGGAAACAAGTAGAACCGAGTTGGGTCGCCGAATGGGGGCATGTGTCCTTTTTTCTCCTCAGTCTCCGCAGCCACCTGATACTAGTTGCCCTCTTTGGGACCCAGACTGGTGGGGCACCTCTGGACTTATGGGAATACTGTCCGTATTCTTTTCCTGCCGTATCCCCCCCCCCCCCTTTTTTAAATACTGTCCTGCCGACCTGGATGATCACTAGAGAACTGCCTCCCCTCATGCTTCCTCGCGTCCTATGTGGCCCTGGATCTAACGCTAATCCAGAGCTTCCCCAGGTTTCAAGGACTCTCCCTTAACCCTTCTCCAGTCCCTGGAATTCCTGTCTTGAGCCCAGTCAACACCCCAGCCAGCTCCTGCACTGGTTGGCCCTGCTGAGGAAGGTCGCCCAGTGCAGCCCCTTCTAAGTGAACCCTCCCCTGATCTTAGGGAAGGAGACCAGGTGCCACACAGGAGCAGGTTGCAGGTTAGGGCTCAGAAAGGACTTCTCAGGAGTGAGAATCTTTGAGCAGAATCTTAAGATTGGGTGAAATTCTGGCTAGGTGAGGTGGCACATGGCTGCAATACGAACAATTTAATAAGTTTGGATGCTGAGGTAGGAGGATCCTAGGTTCCAGGCCAGCTTGGGCAATTTAGCGAGATCTTATCTCAAAAAATATAAAGTGCTGGAGAAGGTAGTTTCGTGGTAGAGCGCCCCCTAGGCAAAAAAGAAAAAAGATTGGATGGGATTCTGAAAAAAAAAAAAAGAGAAAAGCCATTCCAAGCTGAGGAATGTGTATGAACCAAGTTAGGAAAGTGAGCCTGGGGAAGGAGGTGCCCACTGTGGGCAAGCTTAGAGAAATAGCTTGTATAGACCAGTTTTAAGTTAACCTAGACTTTAGGAAGGTGATTAGCGCCTGGAACAAGGGGTTGGAATGGGCGAAACTGAAGTTAGAAAGGGCATGAGAAGATGGGAGTCCTGTAGATCCTGGGAGGTCCCAGTTAACTCTGGGATGATGCATTAGAGAACTAGAAGGCAAAGCAGTTGGGAGGAGTTTGTGGAACTCTTCCCACTGCCTGGAGGGGCATGGGAGGCAGGATTTGAGGTGGGGGGGAAGGTCAGGTTTCCCAGTGTAAATCCAGCATTTGGGAAGATCTGTAGCAAAGCACTCAAAGGACAGGGGAATGATGGTTCAGTTTTGCCTGGGTGAAGTTTGAAGCAGCAGCCGCATATCCTTTTGGAGATGCCAAATAGGAAGTTTGTTCACTCATTCATTTATTATTTATGTCAGCCTCAAAGACAGCTTACATAAAAGTCACAGAGAAGATAAAATGATAAAACCATTAAAACTCAGCTAAAAGGACCTGATGGCTAGGGAACAAAGGCAGAAGGGAGTGGATAATGATTACTGGGAAATGTAGGCCCAGAAAAGCTACTGAAAATGAACATGGGACTTCTGTGTAAGCTTGCTGGTAGTCAAGGGGTGGGGGAAGATACCTAAAAGCAGATTATTGGGGTCTGGAACTTAGGACAAAGGTGTTTGTGAAGCCTCAGGGAAGAGGCAAGAGGTGGTAGGAGATAAAATGTGATCACTGTGGTGGTATTTTCAGGGAGGAGAGCTGAAGCTGGCCAGGGCTTCTATGGTGCTGACATCTGGAAAGGCTGAACCTCTCCTGGGAGGTGGTCCCTCCTTAACTGGCATGGAGTAGGGGTGCGGGAGGATTGAGGTGGGGTGGTGGCAATGCATTCACACTAGTCTTCTTGCAGGGGAACTGGAGAGCAGGTGGTAAGTCTCCCAGGTTCTGACCTTCTCTCCCAGGATGAGGTGGGGCTGCTATTTACCCAGAGCCTCTTGGTACTCTGGTCTGGGAAGAACATCTCAGCCACCAGGTAAGCAGGAAGCTGGGGTTTCTTTTCTTTTCTTTTCTTTTTTTACCTCTCCCTTCCTCTTCAGGGTCTTGATGGTGTCTCCAAGAGAGCTGGAATCCAAATACCAGGTGATCTAGTTCACTTGTGGTTCTGTAGCTGTTGACCTTGGGCATGTCACCTCACTTCTCTGAACTTCCTTTTGCCCCATCCTAAAGTAAGGGAGCTGCACTAGATGATTTTCCAGGGCCTCTTATAGCTGCATAAATCCAGGAATATTTGTCTGATTTCATTTTGCATTCAGCAGATATTTGCTGGGCTGGCCATGTGCCAGATCCTGGGTTAAGTTTCAGGTATATAATTGTGAACAAAAACAGATGTAATTCCTGATCCCTATGAATGTTAATCAAACAATCATATAATGAAATATAAAATTGCATAATAACTTCTAAAAATGGGCAGTACAGCTGCTTTAAGAGCAAAATAAGGGGGGATTTGGTATAGACATGGGGTCTGTGTATTGGTGGGAAAATGTGCATAGGATCTGTAGGTGTTGTTTCTTCCTTCTCTCTGTAGATGAGTGTCTCCCCTTCCTGACCCACTGGAGTTGGCCCCTTAAAGGGGAGCGTCCCCTTGGACCCCTTAGGTGAGGCCTGGGTGTCATGCCTTAGATGTATCTGAGCTTGCCCTGGAGACTGGGAAGGGTCAGGACGTGGTGCTAGCTTGATCTGCTGACAGAGGGGGTTGGGCTTCTGGGGGCCGGGAGAGTACAGAAGTTGGCTTAGATCATCTAGGTAGAAATCATAGTGGAAGAGGAGTGGAGACCTGTGAGGAATGATTGGATCTGGCAGGGGCCAGCCTGGGTTCCAGGGTGATGGAAAGCAGTGGGGGCTGGAGGGCCAGGGCCACATCCCCAGTACCTGTGAGGGGAGTCTCCCTAGCAAGAGTTAGACTAGCTCTTGGATGTCCAGTATCTCAGGAATCTGGAAGTCCAGCAGTGCAGACTGGCCTGGACTCAGAGCTTGTGCAGGGACTGAGCTCTGTATTCTGGCCCCAACCCATCTCCTCTCCTCACTCCCAGGGCCTTTATACGCCACCATGGAAGCTCAGCGGACAGTGCTTCCCCATCAGGAAGGCATGGACAGGTGTTCCGGAGCATCTCTGCAGCTGGTAAAGGATTGTCTGGGATCCTGCTGGGGAGAGGGGGACAAAGGAAGAGGGCATTAGAAGGAGAAGCAGGATCCATTGCCATCCAGTAGTGGTCCCTCTGTGTGTGCATCCCTTCCTGCAACACTCACACAGTGCACACTTACCATGTACAAAGTACTTGGAGAGACACTCTCCCTACCTCATCTGATCCTGGTTCTAGCAGCCAGGGTAGGATCATGCACAGATAACCATGAAGCTAGGCTCGCATTATTTGTCTGGAAGTTCACCATTTTCTGCCATAGGTATTCTAAACTTTCCAGACAATCTGCATTTTCTGAGGGAGTCTGGTGAATCTAGCAGCATTCTGGCCTCAGCATCTCTGGGTGCTGTGTCTTGACTCCCCAGCTTGACCTACCACCCCTGACTGGCCCTAAGCTCCAGCATCTCCTGCCCCTTTCCCTGATCCATGTCCCTTGTCTTCCCATCCAGAAGCTATCCAGCGGCACCGCAGGAATCTGGCCGAGTGGTTCATCCGGCTGCCCAGGGAGGAACGCCAGTTTGGTCCAACCTTTGCGCTAGACACAGTCCATGTTGACCCTGTGATTCGTGAGAGCACCCCTGATGAGCTGCTTCGCCCATCTGCAGGGCTGGCCCAGGAGCATCAGCCACCCCCAGCTGGGCTCCCTGCACTGGCCCTGTCTCAGCTCTTTGACCCGGATGCCTGTGGGCGCAGGGTGCAGACAGTAGTGCTTTATGGGACAGTGGGTACAGGCAAGAGCACATTGGTGCGCAAGATGGTCCTGGACTGGTGTTATGGGCGACTGCCAGCTTTTGAGTTACTCATCCCCTTCTCCTGTGAAGACCTGTCATCCCTGGGCCCCACCCCCACCTCTTTGTGCCAACTTGTGGCCCAGCGCTATACTCCCCTGAAGGAGGTTCTGCCCCTGATGACTACTGCTGGGTCCCGCCTGCTGTTTGTGCTCCATGGCTTAGAGCGACTCAACCTTGACTTCCGCTTGGCTGGTACGGGGCTTTGTAGTGATCCCGAGGAACCAGGGGCACCAGCTGCCATCATGGTCAACCTGCTGCGCAAATACATGCTGCCTGAGGTAGGTGGTCCCTTACCACATCTTTCCACTGCTGTCCCTTGGCCTGCCCCCTAAGGAGTTTTGTGTCCTGGGCCCACATGTTTCTTGGGTAGGATAGGCACTAGGTTAGTTCAAATCCTAGCCCTTTCATTTCCCGATTCTATGATCCCAAGCAAGTCACTGACTTCCCTTAGCTTTTGTTTCCTTCTGTCCTTGAATTGTGCTGATCTAATGAGATGCTGTATATAATACCTGGGACCATATTGATGCTCAGTAATTGTTATAGTTATTTGTAGTCATTGTCCCCTTCATCCTTGGACACTCAGTCCTCAGGGCCTTGAGGCCATCCAGGCCCTAAAGTCTGTCTGTCTTTCCTTCCTTTTTGTTACTGAGGATTGAATACAGGGACTCTTTATCACTGAGCTACATCCACAGTTCTATTTAAATTTTGAGGCAGCGTCTTTCTAAGTTGCTGAGGCTGATCTTGAACTGAGATCCTCCTGCCTCAGCCTCCTGAGGCTCTGTGATTACAGGTATGGACCACTGCTCCAGACTCCTCAGGTCTTTCTTAACTCTCAATCATGCCCTTCCCAGGCCAGCATTCTGGTGACAACCCGTCCCTCTGCCATTGGCCGCATCCCCAGCAAGTATGTGGGCCGATATGGCGAGATCTGCGGCTTCTCTGATACCAACCTGCAAAAGCTGTATTTCCAGCTCCGTCTCAACCAGCCAGACTGTGGGGATGGCGCTGGGGGTGCGGGTGTCTCAGCCACACCAGCTCAGCGGGACAACCTGGTACAGATGCTCTCCCGAAATCTGGAAGGGCACCACCAGATTGCCGCCGCCTGTTTCCTGCCCTCCTATTGCTGGCTTGTCTGTGCCACCTTGCACTTCCTGCACGCCCCCACACCTGCCGGCCAGACCCTCACAAGCATCTATACCAGTTTCCTGCGCCTCAATTTCAGTGGAGAAATGCTGGAGAGCACTGACCCCTCCAATTTGTCCCTGATGGCCTATGCAGCCCGAACCATGGGCAAGTTGGCCTATCAAGGGGTGTCCTCCCGCAAGACCTACTTCTCTGAAGAGGATGTCCGAGGCTGCCTGGAGGCTGGCATCAAGACGGAGGAGGAGTTTCAGCTGCTGCACGTCTTCCGTCGGGATGCCCTAAGGTTTTTTCTGGCCCCGTGTGTGGAGCCAGGCCACCTGGGCACATTCGTGTTCACCGTGCCTGCCATGCAGGAATACCTGGCCGCCCTCTACATTGTGCTGGGTTTACATAAGACGACCCTGCAGCGGGTGGGCAAGGAAGTGACTGAGGTCGTGGGCCGTGTGGGAGAGGACGTCAGCCTGGTACTAGGCATTGTAGCCAAGCTGCTGCCCCTGCGGATTCTGCCTCTGCTCTTCAACTTGCTCAAGGTAACAGCCCTGAGCTCCCACCCTTGCTCCTTCCCTCCCCAGGATCCTGTGTGCCTCATGGCTCCCCCTTCACCCCTTCCCCTCTCCCAGGAGGAAAGTGCTGCCTCTTGCACAGGGGTGAATCCTCTGCTGGGCTCTGGTTCAGCTCTGGGCAGTTGGGGCCTAAGGAACAGGGAAAGAGAAGACACAGACTGGGGAAGGCTTGGGGGCTGGAGGGTGGAATTTGAGGGCATAGGGACCTGATAACAATCCCACAGGATTCCTAACAAGTTTCAATTCTGCACTTCTCCTAGTCTTTGTTGCTGTGAGTTAGGGGTCACTACAGTTCATGGTCTGTCCTTCGCTTTGTAGACCCAGAAACTCAATTGTATCTCTTTCCCCAAAGGTGATTAGGCTCAGGGAACGATGACTCATCCAAACTAAATCACCAGAGACAGGTTTATAAAGCAGATGCCATTTTATTCATTTATACTGGGAGGATGAATGGCATCTGTAATTGGTTTAGGACAGTCCATGCTGGGTGCAGGTCCGCTCCAGAAATCAAGTGTCAGGCCTGAGGGCTGGTGGGGAACTGGGTGGAGGCAGGAAGTTCCTGAGGGATGGAGGAGCCACTCTGCTGAGGTCTGCCCGGCACTTCCTCAGGGTTCTTGCTTTTGTTTTTCATTTTCAACCTTGGAAATGTTCATTTTCGACCTTGGAAATGAACTACTATTATGACCTCTTTTTTAAGTGAGGAAACTGAGGCTCAGACAGGAGAAGGAACTTGTCCCAGGACACTCAGCAAGTAGAATAATTAGGATATGAGTTTGGGGTTTTGTGATTCTGAGTCCTCTGCTCTTTCTGCCTAACCATTCTGATGGTATTAGGAGTATTTCTGTCGGGCCGTGGTCCCTTGCTGGGGAATCCTGGTTTTCTAGGAACATGTTAGCAACTAGTCTTGAGAAGGCAGAGCCCTGGTTAGATCATTTTTGTTTTTTCTGTTTTTTTTTTTTTTTTAATACTGAGGCTTGAACCCAGGGATGCTTACCCCCTGAGCCACATCCCAGCCATTTTTTTTTTTTTTTTTTTTGGTACCAGGGATTGAACTCAGGGGCACTTGACCACTGAGCCACATCCTGAGCCCCATTATGCATTGTTAATTAGAGACAGGGTCTCACTGAGTTGCTTAGTGCCTTGCCACTGCTGAGGCTATTTTTGAACTCATGATCCTCCTGTCTCAGCCTCCTGAGCTCCTGGGATTACAAGCATGTGCCAGTGCACGGGGCATCCCAGCCATTTTTATATTTTAATATTTAAATTTTTATATTTTAATTGCTGTAATAATAAGGATGTTGAAGAAGGTAATGTAGGGGCTGGCGTTGCAGCTCAGTGGCAGAGTGCTCGCCTAATGAGTGTGAGGCACTGGGTTCAATCCTCAGCACCACATAAAAATAAATTAGAAATAAAGGTATTATGTCTATCTACAACTAAAAAAAATGCTTAGAAAATGAAGGTAATGTATTTTAACACCTATCCCAATCTCAAACTAAGGGCATAATATAGCTGGCCTTCTGCATGCACTGGTTCCACAGCCATGGACTCAGCTAACTACAGGTTGGAATTATTTGGAGCTAGGCATGTGTAATCCCAGCTATGGGAGGCTGAGGCAGGAGGATCATAAGCTCAAGGCCAGCCTGGGCAAATTTAGTAAGGTCCTAAGCAAGTTAGCAAGACCTTGTCTCAAAATAAAAAAGGGGCTAGGTGATGTAGCTCAGTGGTTAAGCACATCAGGGTTCAATCCCTGGTACAAAAAAAGAAAAGAAAAAATTGCATTAGCCAGGCACAATGTTTCCTGCTTGTAATCAGAGCAACTCAAGAGGCTAAGACAAGAGGATCATAAGTTCAAGGCCAACCCAGCCAACTTAGCAAGACCCTATCTAAAAGTAAAAAATAATAGTTTACTATCTCAAAATAAAAAATAAAAAAGTATTTTTTTTCATATTATTTACATAGCATGGTTATACTATAACAACTATTTACATAGTCTTTACACTGTACTAAGTATAATAAGTAATCTAGAGATGATTTAAAGTATGCAGGAGGATGTAAGTAGGCTATATGCAAATGCTGTGTCATTTTATATGTGGAACTTGAATGTCCATGGGTTTTGGGTATCCACAGGGGTTCACGAACCCATCCCCTGTGGAGACTGAGGGACAACTGTATATGCTCATTCCTTTTCATAATTAGAAAATGGATGGGTGCTTGGAAAAAATTAAAAAGTTCCTAAAGTCTGGAGTATGTGAGACAAATGTTTGAGAGATGACCATGAAAAAGTCAGATGGGCCAGATTATGAAATGTTTCATGTTCCACGCTAAATGCTTGGAGTTTGCCATGCAGGCAGTAGGGAGCCTGGAGAGTACTGTAGCAAGGGGGTAGTGTGATTAGACAAATTGTGCTGCTCCCTCCAGGGAGATCATGAGGCTGGAGCAGTCTGGGTACACCTTAAGCTGAACCTTGAAGACTGAACAGACACATGGGAGGCCACGGCAACATCCCCTGCTTCTTTTCCAGGTGGTTCCACGAGTGTTTGGGCGCATGGTAGATAAAAGCCGGGAGGCAGTGGCCCAGGCCATGGTGCTAGAGATGTTCCGAGAGGAGGACTACTACAATGATGACGTTCTAGACCAGATGGGTGCCAGTATCCTGGGTGTGGAAGGCCCCCGGCGGCACCCTGATGAGCCCCCTGAGGATGAAGTCTTTGAGCTCTTCCCCATATTCATGGGGGGCCTCCTCTCTGCCCACAACCGTGCTGTGTTGGCTCAGCTTGGCTGCCCCATCAAGAACCTGGATGCCTTGGAGAATGCCCAGGCCATCAAGAAGAAGCTGGGTAAACTGGGCCGGCAGGTGCTGCCCCCGTCGGAGCTTCTTGACCACCTCTTCTTCCACTATGAGTTCCAGAACCAGCGCTTCTCTGCTGAAGTGCTCAGCTCCCTGCGCCAGCTCAACTTGGCAGGTGTACGTATGACACCTCTTAAGTGCACAGTGGTGGCAGCTGTACTGGGCAGTGGAAGACATGCTCTGGATGAGGTGAATTTAGCTTCCTGCCAGCTGGATCCTGCTGGGCTGCGCACTCTCATGCCCGTCTTTCTACGTGCTCGGAAGCTGGGGTAAGGACCCATCCTTATGCATAGGCATGAAGAGAAGATTAGAGTTTAAGAGGGGAAGAGAAATTGCCAGGGAAACAGGTACAGAGGTACTGAGGAAGGACCAGAAAGTCTGAAAGTCTGCTTTCTGTTGCTACAACAAAATACTTGAGGCTGGGTACTTTATAAAGAAAAGAGATTTACTGATCTCATAGTTTTGGAGGTTGAAAGTCCAAGATTGGGTACCTGGTTTGGTCTAGCTTCTGATGAGAGCCTCTTTGGCCCTTGCAACATGGCAAAAGAGCTGAAAAGGAAACAGTTGTATGCAAAGGAGGCCGAGAGCATAGAGTGGCCTTGTTTTACAACAACCCACTCTCATGAGAACTGACTGTCTCTATGAGTCCAACATTCATCCCCTCCAGGAGCACCCCAATGACCTAATAACCTCATACCAAGCCTCATCTCTCAAAGGTTCTGCTCCCCTGAGCACCTCATATTGAGGATCAAGCCTCCAACTCGTGAACCCTTGGGGGAAAAACTACCCAGACCGTAGCAGGGTGGGATGGTGAAGTCTGATGTGGTCGGAGGGATAGGAACAACAAAAGAAGTAAGGGCAGGTATGGATGGCACGAGGCAGGCTGGTGAGGAAGGGGCACAGTAGATGGAAACGTTCCATCTGATCTCCCTTCTTGGCCTCTCACCTCCCCTCTGGCCACCTTCTGCTCCAGCTTGCAGCTCAACAGCCTGGGCCCCGAGGCCTGCAGGGACCTCCGAGATCTGCTACTGCATGACCAGTGCCAAATTACCACCTTAAGGTGAGTGCCCTGGGAGAAGGGCTGGAGGGAGGCTCTGGCTATTGTGGGTGGCCAGCTCAGGTCAAGGGCGAGCTCCCTGCCTTACAACTTACCTGGCGCAGGCCCACCCATGCTATAGTAAAGGGGGTGAGAGTTGAGGCCCTGATCTGTCCCTCCACCCCCAGTCAGGTCCATTATAAACCACAGGACAAAGGGAAGGATGTCATGAGTTCTAGGTGCTAAGAAAGCCTCTCTGGTGGCTAATGTCAGCTCGGGGACAGGGAGGCTGCTCTAATACCTAGGCTGGTTGCTTGGTAACAGAGTCACTGATTCCCTCCCAGTATTTTCCCCCACAAGGCTGACTGTAATGCTGGGCAGTCTCACTAGCTGCTCTCAAGGTGTTGGTTGATTTTCTAGGACCCCTGGGTTTCGAATTTCTGGATGGAGTAAGGGGAGGTGAAGGAGGGAGGAGAAAGGAAGGACAGAAGGATGGGGTGACTAGAGGGGAAAGAAGAACAGGGACTGGGAAGAGGATGGGAAAGGGGGAAGAAGGGAAATAGTACTGTGAAGGAGAGGGAGGGAGTGGGAAGAAGGGATGATGGAGAATAGGAGATGGAAAGGACGGATAGAGGAAAGGAGAAGCCAGCTTTCCCCACTCTTCCTTCTCTGCAGGGACTATAACTGGGTTTATCTGTCTCCTTCTCCTGGGCCGACACTTTCTTATTCAGTTTTGTCTCCACCCCAGGCTGTGCCCCTTTAAGGCCCAAGTCTTAAAGCCCAGCACAGGGCATTTGCAATGGGTCCTTATAACCTTAGGTTGCTTGTGGCCCTAGGTTGTCCAACAACCCACTGACTGCAGCGGGTGTTAGCCTGCTGATGGAGGGCCTAGTAGGAAACACCTCGCTGACACACCTGTCCCTGCTGCACACGGGCCTTGGGGATGAGGGGCTGGAGCTGCTGGCTGCCCAGCTGGACCGCAATCAGCAGCTGCAGGAGCTGAATGTGGCCTACAATGGTGCTGGTGACACAGCAGCCCTGGCCCTGGCCAAGGCTGCCTGGGAGCACCCTTCGCTGGAGCTACTGCAGTAAGTCCTGCCCGTGGTCCCATGGGTCCCTGGCCGCTTGGTCTCCTCTCTCCACTGTGCTCTTCCTTCCTCAGGGAGTGCTCTGGGCCTGGTGTCTGTCCTTTCTTTCTGGATTCTGACTGATCCTTGTTAACCCAGTTCTGAGCTGGTTCACCCACTTTGTGACTGACTTTCACCTTGCCCCTGTTCCCTACCACCGTTTCTCTTAGGGGTCTGTTGTTCCTGGTCCTGCTGAATTCTTACGTCAATCCTGCCTCCCGTTGGCCACCACCCTCCTCCTCTGGTTTGCTGCAGACCCCTACCCCATCATGTCTGGCAGTAGGGGAGGAGCTGTGGGGCTCCGGACTGTCCATCCACCGCGGGCCCTCCTTTCCACACCCCTGATGAGCGTCTACCCTTCTCTTTCCTGCTAGTCTCTACTTCAATGAACTCAGCTCAGAGGGCCGCCAGGTTCTTCGGGACCTGGGAGGCACTGCTGAAGGCAAGGCCCGGGTTGTGGCATCGCTGACAGAGGGGACAGCAGTGTCGGAGTACTGGTCAGTGATTCTCAGTGAAGTCCAGCGGAACCTCAACAGCTGGGATCGGGCCCGGGTTCGGCGCCACCTTGAGCTTCTGCTGCGGGACCTCGAGGACAGCCGAGGTGCCACCCTTAATCCTTGGCGCAAGGCTCAGCTGCTGCGAGTGGAGGGCGAGTTCAGGGCCCTCCTGGAGCAGCTAGAAGGCCCTGGAAGCTGAGACAGTGGCAGCTGAGACCCGGCTGTGGGACCACTGGCTCCAAAACCCTTCCTCTGTGACCTCCTGGCTTGTTCTACTCCTTCTAGAATGATCCCTTCAAGGCTGGTGGCAAAGCAATGGGCACAGCTCTGTGGGTTGCCACCCTGGGACATGTCCAACTAAGTCTAGATTTCCAGGGTCAAATACGGTCCATTGATACCACAGACTTAAAAATCGAGTGTGTCTCCTCTCCCTTTGGCTTGAAGAACTGAGGATGTGGCATTTGGATGACCAGATTGCCCTGTGGCATCACCACCAATTTTGATTCTCCCTCTGCTCAGAGAGCCTCTGATTGTACCACCAAAGGGTTCACTTCTTAAACCTTCCCTGCTGGGGGTGTTGCCATTCAGGAGATGTGCTGGAGGGCCTCTCCTCCTGCCTGTGTTTACTGTGACACTGAGGACGCCCTCACGTTGGTGCTTTCCCCCACACTCATGCTCCTGTATCACACTGGTTCCCATGGCTTGGTGGCCCAAGGGCCAGGTATACCCAACTTGCTGCTATTAAAAAGCCTCATGTCTTCTACCTACTGTGGCCTTCTCTTCCTTACCTGATGCTCCCAAGAAAGGGCACTCTTCCTGGCCATTCTGGGTAAACTACTGACCACTTTGTACAGGCCACTTTTAACAACCCACTGATGGCAGCAGGTGTCTCCTTGTTGGTGGAGGGGCCAGCAGGAAATGCTTCACTCACACTGTGTCTCTGCTGTGCAGGGGCCTTGGGAATGAGGGGCTGCAGCTGTAGGAGCTGAACACGGCCTACCTGGTGCTGGAGACACAACTCTAGGTTCCGAGGCAGCAGTGGCTGGAGGGACCTATGTAGAAGATATCGGGATGGATATTGGCCAGGCTGGGCCATAAAACTTCTATCACCCTTTTCATACCCTTCCCCCAGGCATGGGGTCACAGTGACCAGCAGTCTACCTTTCTCTGTCCAGAGGAGCAACTGGGTCAGCTGTAGGCTCTCTGGAGAAAGTTGAAGCCCGGAGACTCCAGAGGCTGAGTCATAGAGGCTGAGTCAGAAGGATCCCACATTCTAGGCCAGCCTCAGCAACTTAGGTGAGACCCTGTCTCAAAAAAATTAAAAAGACTGGGGATGTAGCACCATTGGGTTCAATGCCCAGGACCAAAAGAAAAAAGAAAGAAAGAAAGTTAAAGCCCAGGAATGGGTGCAAGAGAAACAAACACTTCCCAGAGGATAAGAGTCTCATCTCCGTTAACCATTACCCCATTGCTTCCATAACAGCGTCTTCAAGGAGGCGGGACTTGGGAGGGGGCAGGTGGGAGGATCAGCTGGTTACGATGGACCTTGTCCCTACTCTTGAACACTGGTTGCTGATCTAACTATGGAGGCAGCTGCAGGTAGGAGGCTGGGAGATATAGCGGGATGGGACTTTGGGGGCAGTGAGAGGCCTGATTTGGAGGCTATGGGACTGGGGCACACTTGATATTGGGGCTTGCAGCCCTGAGGCAAACAGAAGTTAAGAAGAAGAAAGAGGTGAGTTGATATGTTTGTCTTCCTGGTCCACACCCTGTACTGATATGCTCAGATTTATGTGTCACAGACTTGCGGGGAGGGAAAAGGAGAGGGATATACGACATCCCTTTAAGTGTGACTTTAGTAAGAAGGTGAAACTTTGGGAGCAGAGCAGAGCACTAGCTCTGAGTTTGGGTGTTTCCCTAAGTCCTTTCAGTTTATGAATGTGGAAGAGGTGATACAGCTGGTTACCCTGCTGAGTCCTTGCTTCCATGAAAGCTTAAGTATCATCCCTCCCCACCCCACTCCAGGAAGAGGGGATAGAAAGGTGGAATCCATGGGATGGGGAGGTCCTATCCCTTTTATATCTAAGGTCTTCTTTTATCCCCCTACATTCCTGTCCTTTATCTGGCTTATTTCCCTCTTTCCTTCTTGTGATGGGGGGGAGGGGATGCTGGTGGGAAGGTGAAAAACCGGTGGGCCAATGGGGTGGGGGAGGAGTGATCTGGGCAGGAAGGTCCTAGGGTGATTTGATTAGCACCTCCCTATTTGCTGGGACCTGCTTCACTAACAATTCTTTAGGATGGCCTGGGGCCTTGGGGACATTAACATTTCAATCTCCCTGGTGTAGTTCTGACCCCACGGGCTCAGATTGCACTCCATTTTCTTTATGGGCTCCATTTTCTTTATCAGACTCGATATCATACCCTAGCTACCTAGCTACACTAACTACCTATCTTTAAATCTGGCTTCAGAGGCATCTGGGGGCAGGAATGTGCCTCTCCTCTTACGCACTTCTTTGTCCAGTAGATCTTCAGGACACAGCCTCCTTAACTCTGTAAGTGGCTTGAGGGTTGGGTAAGGGGAGGGATGACCTGAAGGTGGGGCAGCTCTTCAGATGCCATTAGCTCCTGAGCCTGGGACTCAAGTCCAGCTGCCAGCTTCTCCTACCACTTCCCCTGCCTCCTTGCAGAAAGTTCAAATTTAACCCGAAGCTGGGCATTGACAATCCTGTTCTCTCCCTGGCGGAAGACCATGACTGCTCTGGTAACTCCCTCACCCCTTGGCAACCATTGCCTTTCCCTGGAGATACCGCAGCTCCATGCAGCCTCCCATCTCCTTGGTAACCACTCTGCCTCCTTCTAATATCAGTAACTATGTGGAGGTAGGAGGGGGTCAGTGCTTCCTCTGTCTCAGCCACTGTGCCCACTTGGTGTTCAGCCACAGTGCTGCACCTCTCTCTGGGTAGACACCTGCCCAGTGCCCTGGCAGGAGGCGGGGCTGTCAGGTCAATCAGGCAACTGATGTGCACTTGGGCTGTGCTCCCCTTCCCTTGTCTCTTTTCTGCTGTCCATCTCCCCCTCCAGATCCATGGAACCTGAAGAGGCCTCGCTTCTGTTTGCTGAGCAAAGAGGAGGGCAGGAGTTTTGGTTTCCACCTGCAGCAGCAGTTGGGCAGGCCTGGGCATGTGGTGTGCAGGGTGGAGCCGGGCTCTTCTGCCCAGCGCCAGGGTCTCCGGGAAGGAGACCTGATCTTGGCGGTGAACAGTGATGTCGTGGAACATGAGGACTATGTGGTGGTGAGGCTGGGCTGGGACTCCCAGTGGTACAGGAGAGCATTCCACAGCATCTCAGGGGGAAAAGCCAGTGAGCCTCCTCCCTGGGCACTATAGCAACAGGGCCATAAATCTCCCTACACCCTAGGATTTAGAGGTGCCCATGTAGGAAGGGTGGATGCATCTAGAGAGCTGGTTCCCCTGGTGAATAACACAGGTCCCCAGGAGGCCCGGGGAGTTGGCAAGAGGAGCCATCACCCTTATCCTGATGTGCTCTCTATTTAGGTGGTGCGCCACATCCGGGCCAGTGGTCCCCGGGTTCTGCTGACAGTCTTGGCGAGGCATGTTTATGAAGTGGCCCGAGTTCAGCAAGGGAACAGTGGCAACCTCTGTCCTGTTCTAGACTCAGGGGTCCGGCCCCGGCTGTGCCACATAGTAAAAGATGAAGGTGGCTTTGGCTTCAGTGTCACCCATGGTGAGCTTAGAGTCTGGAGACGGGGGAGGTGGGGTAATCAGTCCTTGTTCTGGGTAAGTAGCAGTCTGGAGCTTGTGGTGGTTTTTTGTTTTTGTTTTTTCTTCCAGGAGCTCAGGGTCCTTTCTGGTTGATGCTAAGTGTGGGAGGAGCGGCGGAGCGGGCAGGGGTGCCCCATGGGGCTCGGCTGCTTGAGGTGAATGGGCTCAGTGTGGAGAAGTTTACTCACAACCAACTCAACAGGAAGGTATGGCTGCCCACTTCCCTCTCTCCCCAGTCATTGGCTGGGTCCATCACAGGAAGCAGGCTCCTCCCCATGTACCCAACCTCCCAATCTGATGGTCTGCATTTGTTACCATCCCTCCTTTCAGGCCCTCCTTTTAGTGCCTCATTCCTGTGCCTTGGGAGGGGGTACCGTGAGGAGGTGCCCACCTCATCCCTCCCTACCCAATGGGTAATGCCGACACCCTGCTTGGTCCCCACAGCTTTTGCAGAGTGGAGAGCAGGTGACCCTGCTGGTGGCAGGGCCAGAAGTGGAGGAACAGTGTCGCCAGCTAGGAATGCCCCTAGCTGCACCCCTGGCAGAGGGCTGGGCACTGCCTGCCAAGCCTCGATGTCTGCACCTAGAGAAAGGGCCCCAGGGCTTCGGGTTCCTTCTGCGGGAGGAGAAGGGCCTCAATGGTCGCCTTGGTGAGTAGGAGCTTGCAGGTGGATGGGGAAGGTGTGCCTTGGAGTGTGCACTTGCTCACTTCTCAGTGCAGCTGGGAGGGGCTGAGGGTTAGCCCTGGGTGTGCACACTGGAGGTGAGGGGAAGAGGAACAGTGAGGATGTCTGTGTCCCAGGACAGTTCCTGTGGGAGGTGGACCCAGGACTACCAGCTGAGAAGGCCGGGATGCAGGCTGGGGACCGGTTGGTGGCTGTGGCTGGGGAGAGCGTGGAGGGGCTGGGCCATGAGGAGACAGTGTCCAGGATCCGGGCGCAGGGTTCTTGTGTTTCCCTCATTGTCGTCGACCGTGAGGCTGACCGCTTCTTCAGCATGGTGCGCGCTGAGGGACGGGGCAAGGGAGGGGGCAGGAATAGAACAGGGCTCGGGTGAGACAGGTTTGCTCTGTCGGCTGGTCTAGGTTCGCCTGTCCCCACTCCTCTTCTTGGAGTGCACAGAAGCTGCTGCCTCCTCCGAAGACACTGGCTCAGCTTTTCTGGTTGAGACCGAGGACCTACCAGATGAAGGCACAACCATACCTCCTGGTCCTCTCGGCTCCTGCAAGCGCTTCCTGTACCCTGGGCCTGGTGGCGGCTATGGTTTCCGACTCAGCTGTGTGGCCAGTCGGCCTTGTCTTTTTGTCTCCCAGGTGACTGATGCCCCCATGGATCCTGGATCCTTTCTATTATTTACCTCCTGATCAGCCTTTCTCTGTCTCCCTCCCAGAGTCCTAGAACACATAGTAAACATATCCATGGTGTTCTGTGTTCCATCTGCCCTTTATACCACCAGGTGACCCCAGGAGGTTCAGCTGCCCGGGCAGGGCTGCAAATGGGAGATGTGGTTCTGGAGGTGAACGGGTATCCTGTGGATGGAAATGATGGCTTGCAAAAGCTTCAGCAGCTGGCCGAGGCCAAGCCACCCCTCTGCCTAAAGCTGGCAGCCAGGTCTCAACAGAGCTTGGAAGCCTGGATTCCCCCAGGGATTAGAAAGGTAAGGAAAGGAGACATATGGAGGTGTGAACAGCCAGAGAAGGGCAGAGAGGAGCCAGAGAGAAACATAGATTGGGAGGACTACTAGGTGACAGTGTGGGGTGTACAGGTGGGGCTTCAGGTCATGGGAGGTGAGGACAGAAGAATCCATGAAAAAAGTCCCATAACTGGGCATTCCAGGGCAGGTTGGGGGGAGGGTAAAGGAACTCTTCTAGCCTTAGAATGACCTTCTCCCTCTTCTATCGCTATAGGACTGGACTCTGGCCTCAGATCTGCTATAGGACACCCCTGCTTGCCGTAGTTCTGCCAAGTGGTTCTCCTGACTTCTCTCTGCAGCCTGAAGTGGTGGGAGCAGAGATGGTTTCTCTAATCCAGAAGTGGGAACTAGAGGTTTAGGACACCATCGATCATAGGAATGGCCAGGGACTCCCTCCCTTCCCATGGCATACCTCCCAGGAAAGGGTGTGGTCAGAGACCTCAGGGAGGGCCCTGAAGGAGCCTAGACTTCAGAGGATGCCACGTGGGAGCTTTGCAGAGATGTGTCCCAAGGATGAAGTTCTGCCTGAGAAGGGGATGCTGTCGGGCTAGTTGTGGGGATGGATTGAAGTCATCTGGAACTTGCCCTAGTATGACTCCAGTGTAATACGGTACAAGAATTTGGAGAACAGCTATACCCTCCCTCCATGGATGCCTTAGACTGTGGGGGCTGGTATCTGGTAACTGTTGGGTTTTATTATAGAAATGTACTTTCTCTATGAATCTGACTGCCTGTGTTTGTGTAGATGGGGACAAAAGGATTTAAAGGGACCACAAGGGCCCTAGACCCTATCCCTGAACAGTATCCAAAGGTACTAAAGAGGTCGTCTTGACTGGGATTATTCCAGACTCCCCAGTTTCATTAAATGGCGAAACCCAGGTTCTGTAGGAGAGGGATTGAGACCTTGTCAAATTTCTCTCCTACCTCTTAGTCTTTTTTTTTAATATTTATTTTTTAGTTGTATACAATACCTTTATTTTGTTTATTTATTTTTTTGTAGTGCAGAGGATTCAACCCAGGGCCTTGCACATGCTAGGTGAGCGCTCTGCCGCTGAGCCACAACCCCAGCCCACCTCTTAGTCTTCAGGATGTAGAGACGTTCCCAGAGGATGGGGATCACTCCTCTCTGCCAAAGACCACAGCCCACAGCTCTGCTGGGTTCAACATTAAAACACTTTATTACTGGGCCTCAGAGAGTAGAGGCTGGCAGCCTCAAAGATCCAGAGGGTTGAGGCCAAATTGACGCAGCTGCTCCTTGTGCTTGGCATGGAGTCTCAGCACGGCCCCATCCAAGTCAGGCTTAACAGCTCTCAGTTTGGCCAAGAGCTGGTCCAGGCTGCCCTGCAGACACCAAGCTTTCAGCTCCCAAGAAGAGAGGATGGAGATAAGGGTTGCCCCAGGTTGGTTTGTAAGCTTTCCTTGCTTGCAGGGATTTCTTACTCTGCGCTGGTAGGCACAGCTGTATCCACTCTGTCCAACTTGAGGATAGAGCAGTGTTCCTTGGGGACACTTCTCCTTTCCCTTGGGTTATTAGTCATCACACTAGCTGTGGGCTGTGGGGATGGAGGAGTGCTGGGGTACTAGAGCAGCTGGGCTCTGGAGGGAAGTGCTTACATGTAAGATTTCCTGGTACTTGGCCTCCATGTCCACCACCTGGGCCCTAAGCTGAGTCAGGGTCTGGTCCCGCTCTCTGAGGGCTTGCTCAGCCTCTTCCCTTTCAGCCTTAGCCTCCTTCTGGCACATTTCTGGGGAACAGAAGGGAAGGATGAGAGGACAGAATGGTGGCACTCTATCCTGAACAGTCTCCAAAGGTACTAAAGAGGTCGCCTTGAGTGGGATTATTCCAGACTCCCCCAGGTTCATCACATTTCCTACAGTCCCAGTAAAGAGCTGAAGATCCATCGAGGTATGACAGAGTGCAGAGGGCTTGATACAGGAGATGGGTCCAAAGTCTGGTCATTACTTACTCTTTGTATATTGTCAAATATGTCTCTTTCTGACTCTCAGTTTTTTAATCTTTCAAACCTCATGTATGGTGTGACCCTTAAATGTGAAATGGAAGGCAAAGTGCCTGGTATATAAGAGGTGTTCTATAAATGTTGGTTGAATTTGAAATTGAAATAAGGCAAATATTGGGGAAGGGACTACATGACAGATAAATAGCTCTTGGATATCTATAGCTAAACTGAAAATGAAAATATTTTAAGATTATAAAAAAAAAAAAAAAACAACAACTTTGAGGGCTGAGTTGTGGCTCAGTGGTAGAGCGCTTGCCTAGCACATGTGAGGCACTGGATTCGATTCTCAGTACCAAATAAATAAAGATATTGTGTCCATCTACAACTAAACAAACAAGCAAACAACATTGAGGGTGGGGATGTAGCTAAGGGGTAGAGTGCTTGCCTGGCATGCATGGGCCCTAGATTCCATCCCCAGCAACATACACACACACACACACACAGAGGAAAAAAGAAACGAAAGAAAACTTTGAGGTTAAAATTATGAAAGAACTCATGTGCTATGCTGAGATATTTCAACTTTGTCCTGTAAGCAAGAGGAAAGGAAAGCAAAGGCTTCCTGTTTTTTTTTTTTTTTTTTTTTTTGCTTATTTGGAAAGCTTATTCATTTATTTAGTAAGTGGTTTTTTAGGGCCTATCAGGTGCTAGGCCTTGAAGATACAGAAGTAAATGACTAATATTTTCCTTAGTTTCATTACAAAAGTTAGCTTAATTTAGGGAATATGTTTTGCTCAGTAGAGACGTAGAGACAAGGCAGTGGAGAAGAATAAACATTGAATTTGGAGACACTAAGCAAAGGGGGAAGTTAGGTATGAGACCTTCTCTCTGTTGGTGTTTCTTTATTCCTCTCTCTCTTCCTTCCTCTCTTTCCTCCCTTCCTCCTTCCTTCTCCCTCCCTCTCTTTCTTTTGATTGAACTCAATGCCTCACACATGCTAGACAAGCATTTTACCACTGAACTACATCCTGAGCCTGAAACCTACCTTTTCTTTACTTACATCTGTTTTTTTTATTGTTTGTTTGTTTAGTACTAGCAACTGAGCCCAGAGGCCCTTTCTCACTGAGCTCCATCCCCAGTACTTTTTATTTTTATTTTGAGACGGGGTTTCACTAAGTTGCTGAGGCCTTGTATTTGTGATCCTCCTGTCTCAGCCTCTGGAGAAGCTGGGATTACAGCCATGTGCCATCACTGGGGCTTCTTTACTTACATCTTAGAATTTCTTGTCATCCTGAATCCTCTGCTCAGAGAACAGTCCAGAGAAAGGCATCTAAATTCAAATTCAACCAACAGACTGCAGCTTTCTAAGGAAGGACCCTCTAAGACCATCCTTTCATCTGGACCTAGTTAATGACCCTTGGAGAAAAAGACCTGGATGGAACCTACCTAGCTGCTCCCGAAGACCCCTTACTTCCTCTTCTAGCTGATGGCTGCGGGTTTCCAACTTCTCCTTCAGGGCCTGGTGCTGGCGGCTCATCTCTGAAGCAGGGGTAGTGGGTGGCCAGGAAGCCATGTAGGCATGGAGACATGGAGAAAGGAAAGTTGTAGATGGAGAAGACTTTACTTAGTCCAGAGAGGCCGGAGCATAAGGACCTTCTTAATTTTTCTTGTGATAATGCTGAGAAGGTGGAAAACCCTGAAAATCTGGGGAAGGGATAGAAAACCGGACCCTTGCCTGATGCTGAAGTGCAAGCCTGTAATTCTAGCTACTCAGGAGGCTGAGGCAGGAGGATCACAAGTTAGAGACCAGCATGGGCAACTTAGTGTGACCCTGCCTCAAAAATTGAAAGAACTAGGAATGTGGTTCAGATTTTTAAAAAGAAAGAAAAGGAGAAGAAAAAACAGAAAACCAAACTGCCTTCTCCCATACAGTTTGGGATGAGGAACCTAGCCTTTCTTTCCACTTATTCTCATTGGATAAATGAGATAATGGCTATGACTGCATTTTGTACCCCCACAAAGCAACACATGGCATCAGGGATTCTGGAAGGTGCATGCGTGGGATGCCAGGGATCTTCCTTGGATTCCTTGCTTCCTTGGGGCCCTTTGGTTGTCCTCTTTTAGGGCACTGTCTTCTGCCCACCTGCTCACCCCGTCACATACCTGCATATATAGCCTTCTCTTCACTTCGGGCCTCTTTGAGTTCTGCCTCTAACCCTTGCAACTTCTGCTTCAGCAGCTCTTCGGAAGCCTTGGCTCTACGGGACTCATCCCTCCGCAGAGCTGTGAACAGCAGCAGAGCTGCCTTTAGGATTGGCTGTGACACAACCAGTCCCCATGGGCTGGATAAGCTCTTCCCACCCCTGAAGAGCTGGTGGCAGGGCGTCCAGCCCTTTGCTCTGTTTGTTCCTCTAGAATCTCACAGCCTCTTCATTACTACGAAGGAAAACCTCCTTCTATATTCTGGTCATGGAAAATAGCTTCCCTGGTATGTTGGCATAGCTCAGTGGTAGAGCCCTTGCCTAGCACGTATGAGGCCCTGGGTTTGATCCCGGCCAGGGAATTTGGGAAGAAGCATCCCTCATCAACCCTCACTGCCTACTGCCCCCCCACACACACACACCCATAGTCCTTTTCAATTAGGGGCCAGTTAGAATTTGGCTTAGCCCTGTGCTTATCCCTTCAATCCCCCAAGGACCCAGAAATGCCACTTATGCTGTCCCCAGAGCCTTCACCCTTCTCACCCAAGTGGTCCAGGAGCAGCTCCTTCTCCAGCACCATCAGCCTGTGCTTGGCCTCGGCCTCCACATCTGCCCTGGCAAGTTGGCAGAGCCTTAGCTTATCATAACCTCAGTCCCACCCCCACCTTACCCCACCTCTGGACTTTCCTTCATGAGATCAGAGGACCACCCAATGAAGGGTGCCTCCCTGATAGGACATGTAGAAGCAGGGGTCCCACCTGTACCCACTGTGACTTACCAACACTCAAGTTCTTTTTCTTCTTCTGTGTCCCAGATTTCCTACCTTTTTCTTTGGTCTTAGGTGGCATGTCCTGGCTGTCCTGAGGGAGGGGGGACTTTATAGTTCTAGACATAGGAATGCTTTCCTAACCCCTAGACTTAACCAGGAGACTTGAGTGATTTAGAATTCTAGTTTTCAAGTCTGTCTCACACTTGTTGGAAGCTTTACTTCTTGGTTTCCTGGGAACCTTAGGCAGGGCTGGAGTAGGAAGGGCTGCTCTATATAGAGAAGTCATTCCTCCCAACCCTCTGTTAGGGAAAATAAATCTCTGAACCAGTTTGCTCCCTTTTCCCTCCATCCTCACCCTACCTTTTCCTACCTATAGGATGTTTTCTTGCCTTTGTGGTCTCTCCTTGTGGAGTGACCCACTCACAGGGAAGGGCAGAGAGAGGCCCAGATAGAGCCTGAGGAGGAGCCTGTGTCCTGGAAACCAATCCAGGCTGGCAAACTTCCTTCAGGGGCAGGACAGAGAACCAGAAGGTTGGGTTTCTGGAGGCTACATGTTGTCCAGGCAACTGGAAAACACGGAATTCAAAGGAAGGTGTAATGGGCTGTCAGCTCACAAAGCTAAAAATACAAAGACCCTTGAGGGTCACTTCTCCCCTTCTCCCAAAATCTTAAATACATTTTGAAGTGAAAGGGCTTTGGAGCTGATTAGCTAAGATGTACTTCCAGGTGGGTGCTGCCTGCAATTTGGAGAGTAAGGAATTATAGATGTACATAGTGTTGTGCTGATATAGAAGAAGACTGACATGGCCATCCTGGCAGTTTTCATCTCAAGATCCCACTGGCAAAAGGACATTAAACTTACAACTGAATATTCCCCTTCAGAAAGGCATTTTACAGTGTCTGAGGGAAATAATGCAGAAGCAGGGAGTTAAGAGAGTTTTCCACTTTAGAGAAGTGAGAACGGAGGAGAGGTGGATCCATGGACTCCAGGATATTGACCCAGAGGGATGCAAATGTCAAGGAAAGGGCACTGGTTAGAGACAGGAGACATGAGTCCTAGTCCCCTCAATGGATGTATAAACTTGGGCAAGCTACTTAAATTTTCTCAGACTCTTTAAACCTTTGATTTTGAAACTCCTGAAAGTCCTGGATTTTTGCTGGGTATTTACAAGACCATTTTCTCTCACAGTACTTAATCTATGTCGGCATTTCCCCTATTCCTATATATAGATGATTTGCAGACAGCTGTTGAGAAACTACCTCTAGAGGTTCCCTGCCACAGAGAGTTGGTTGGCGCTCCCTCTAGTGGACACACTTGGCCTCCTGCATCTCCTCCATTTTTGCTTCATATTTATAGGACAGCGTTCTGGTGACTCCCTTTTGGGGATGCTTCCTAGAATCCTGCCAGAGTCACAAGTGGTTGGAAAGATAAATTTGGGGCAGAGAGTATGAAGGGTGGCTTGCTCTTGGCAGGTGGCCCCCACCCTCCCCCCAGCCCCCGGGGGTGTCTGGAGCCATGTCATCTGTCAGTCACTGGGATCTCTGGGCCATATAGTAGGAATTTCAGAGCTTTTCTCCTTGTGGATTAAGGGACCTGCAGACTCTTTTTATAGGTACTTCTCTCTATCCCTGTTCCCCTAAACCTTTTTGGTCAATTGCCTATTGTCAGAAGTAGATCTTCAGAAATGAACATGAGATCTGGAAATGAAGTCTTGTCTCTGAGGAGCGGGCAGATGCAGGCAGAGGCCAATGCATATTTATTTGACCCTTTGTGGCTGCAGGGTACTTCTCTGACCTTCTGGACATTTTATAGAGCAAAGGGAAGAGCCAGGTGTGTCTTTCCAGTGCTTACAGCTCCTGTAACTCAGGGCCAATTAACCTTGTACACATTTCCCAAATTTGGAGAATACTTTTATTTTGAATTTGCAGCATTTCTTCATTTACTCTCCCTCCAGAATCCCCTCCCTCTGTCCTGATATGGTGGGTGTTCTCAGTGTTTCTTCCTAGGAGCCTGTCTGGGGACTTCTTCCACAGAATGATTATGTCTTTGTTTATGCTGATGCATAGAACGACATATTGAGGGTAAAAATTACAGAATATAAGCAACATATATGCCTCAGAAGAGCATTTACTTTACAAATATATTTACTCAAATAACTTTCAGGTGCAGAATGAGGATGTGGTTTGGGATGAAGGTGAAGTGGAAAGAAAAATGCCACATGTCACGTGATGTGATACAAGATGAAACAGCTCTAGAAAAACCCAGAATGTAAATGACATTATGATCAGCAATACAACCCTATCTCTAGTACATTTTCAAAAACAAGCAAAATACAGTAAAAACAAAACAAAACAAACAACAAAAACCCAACTATAATGCACCAACAAAAGAAAAAAGTCAAATAAAAATTGTGAGATAAAGGTCGATTTGTCTTTTTGCATTAAGTTTAATTTAGAGGGCTGGGGCTGTAGCTCAGTGGCAGAATGCTTGCCTAACATGCATGAGGCACTGGGTTCGATCCTCAGCACTACATACAAATAAATAAAATAAAGGCATTCTGTCCATCTACAAATTTTTTTTTTTTTTAAATATTTATTTCTTAGTTTTCGGCGGACACAACATCTTTGTTTGTATGTGGTGCTGAGGATCGAACCCGGGCCGCACGCATGCCAGGCGAGTGCGCTACTGCTTGAGCCACACCCCCAGCCCCTACAAATTTTTTTTTAAAAATTTAATTTAGGGCTGGGGTTGTGGCTCAGAGATAGATCGCTCACCTAGCACGTTCGAAGCCCTGGGTTTGATCCTCAGCACCACATTAAAATATATATATATATATATATATATATATATATATATATATATATATATATAGTGTCCATCTACAACTAAAAAATAAAATATTATTTTTTTTAATTTAGAAGCAAAAATAGGAAAGATTATTCCAGCAGAAGTATCTTCCTTTGAATAAAATCCCACACACCTGTGGAAAGAAGGCTCATCCTTTCTCCTTTATTCAAACGTGAAAGATAGGCCATTTGTATATTAAAAGAAATAGGGCCTGCTACAGCAGATACCAAATGCACATTATTTAATTTTCTGTTATGCAGACCTCACTGAAGAGAATACAAATTGGATACCTTAAACCAAGCCAGAGAGGTGTACTGTATACCTAGACATGCACCTTCACAGCTCCATGGATTAACATTTTACCTGTACTCCTTTAAATCAAGGATTTAACTATGAAAAATACCCTGATAAATCTACCCTGTGTTAGGTACTGTGAAAGATCCAAAGTTGACAAGATAATATAGCATAAATTAACATGTGGTATAAGAAATAAATGACTATGGGGCTGGGGTTGTGGCTCAGTGGTAGAACGTTCACCTAGCATGTGCAAGGTGCTGGGTTTGATCCTCAGCACCACATAAAAATAAATAAAATAAAGGTATTGTGTCCAACTACAACTAAAAAAAAATTAAAATAAACAAAGTTTTTTAAAGAAGGAATAAATGACTAGGGAAATTTATAAGAGTGAAGGATTATTTCTAGCAGGAGGACAATATTTGAGCTGAGTTTTGAAGAATGAATTGGATTTTAGAAGCACACTTCAGGCAGAGGAAAAGCTCTGAGTAATGGTGATGAAAAAAGAAAGAATTGTGGTATTTTGTGACTTGATGAGTCACCCAGCATAAGATATTTGTATCAGGGAATAGTACAAAACTGCAAGGTAGTTTGTTTGTTTATTTATTTATTTTGTCATTCTGGGGATTGAACCAGGGCACTCTCACACTGAGCTATATTCCTAGCCCTTTTTATTTTTTATTATTGAGACAAGGTCTTGCTAATTTTTGAGACTGGCCTTGAACTTATCCTCCTGCCTCAGCCTCCCTAGAAGCTGGAATTACAGGTATTGCCACTGTGCTCAGTGCCAAAAACTGTGGTTTACTTATTTTAATTTTTTTTTTTTTCAGTACTGGGGACCAAATATAGGGCCTCACCCTGGTAGGCAAGTACTCTATTATTAAGTTACATTTCCAGCTTTGCAAAGGAGTTTGGTTTTGGGTTAGAACATGGCTGTTAGTTTTATTCCAGAGGCAATGGAGAGTGTTTAGTTTTTGTTGTTGTGGGGGTGTGATGCTGTCTTAACTAATGGAAGCATATGGTGGCAGGATGGAATTAAGGCAGCAAGGAAACCAGTGAGAAAAATTTCAGTATCCCAGGGAAAAGAAAAGGAGGGCCTGCAGTGAAGGTAGTGGCTCTAGGGGTGAAAAGTTTTGACATTTAGGAGTTTGCCTAGATTCTCCTTTTTTTTTTTGAGAACTGATAAAAGGTAGGAACTGATAAAAGACATTCTATTGGTAGGAAATGATAATGTAGGCTTCTAAATCAGTCTTAGAGAAAAGCAATTGACTTGCAAACTCAGGATGACTGGCTGAATGATCCTTTAGTTCAAAGATATTTTGCTCTCTTGAAGAAGTACTTGATGAACTTAATTTCCAAATCAGCCAAGGGCTTTGTGGAAGAGCTAGGAGGAAGATACAAAGCAGACCTAAATACTTATTTACACACCTGGGCCTGCAAACTCACAAAGCTGAAGCTAAGAATTAACAAATTAGGGCAGGGCACTTCCTTCTTTGGAAAGGAAGTTCCTATTTTTGTTCTTCCAACGGAATTTTTAGATTAGAGAAGTGGGAGTGATTGGGAACTACATTTCTATTCCCTAGACCGAGTGAGAGCCGCTCTGGCCACCACTTGCAGAGGTCTCACGATTTGTGGGCGGTGTCTCGTGCTAACGGTGCAGACGAGCAAGGGGTGCAATGAGCTGAGCAGAAGATTCTTAAGTACATATTCAATTCCCAGAAAAGGGCAACTCCCCAGAAGCAGAAAGGGAAGTGCTTTGTTTTAAGAGGTCAAAAGCATGGAAGAAGTGCTCATGGCCTGAGGGTTCCCAGCTTTTGAGCCTTTCTGGGGCCTAATCAGGTTGGAACAATCTTCAACGTTCTTTTTTCTGTACTCAGTCGCGTCCTAATGAAGAATCTAAAATGCCAGAGAATGGAGACATACGTTTCTTTTTTCTTCCATTTCCCACAATATGAAGCAAATAACTATAAGTTCAATTTCCACATTTGTCAGGCGTGAGGAAAGGACTTGTAAAGATTCTTTCCACTATGAATTGCTACCTGTCAATGACCCTCTCCTAAAGCACCAACCTCCAGCCAGCCCACAAAGAACATGGAGGTCTCGGCTTCCGCTTAGTGCGCAGGCTTCACATTGGATCCCACCCGCTTCCTTTTCGCGCGTCTCCAGCAGAGGGCGCAAGCACTGAGGTTTTGCTGGCCCCGCCCCCTTCCCGCCCTCGGGGGTAGGGGCGAGGGAGGCGGGCGCGGAAACTTGGTGGCTGCTTTCCCGGAGCTGTGGGCACGTGGGCGCTGGCGAGGGGGTGGGGCGGGAGGTGGGGGTCTCTCCCGGGTTCGGACGCTGCCGCCTGCTTTCCCCAGCTCTGGGATCAGCCGTCAGTCCCTGGCGCGCGCCCCCGCGCTCCGCCCGCCGGGCTCGTGCTCGCTTAAAGGGGCGCGCCCTGCACCCCCCACTGCCGGCACCGCCCACTCCCCTCCCCGGGGCCGCTCCTCCCACCGCTCCGAGAGCCGGCGGCTGCTGCGGCCGCGAGAGGCCCCTCCTTCACGCCCTCCTTTCCCTCGCTCGCTGTCGAGCGGAGCCGGCCGTCCGGCTGGGCCCCCGACTCTCCCCGGCCATGGCCGGTAACGTGAAAAAGAGCTCTGGCGCCGGGGGCGGTGGCGGCTCCGGAGGCTCGGGCTCGGGCGGCCTGATCGGGCTCATGAAGGACGCCTTCCAGCCGCACCACCACCACCACCACCTCAGCCCCCACCCGCCGGGGACTGTGGACAAGAAGATGGTGGAGAAGTGCTGGAAGCTCATGGACAAGGTGAAGGGCCTGCCGAAGACCCGCGGGAGCAGGGTGGGCGTGGGCGGAGGGCCTTGCCAGCGCTGGGATCGGCGGAGGAAGCTGGGGGAGGGTCTGGAGGCCAGGAGCTGGGGTGACCCGCCGGCCGAGGGGGGCTGGGGGCCTGGAGCCGGGGCAGGGGAGGAGGCCGGATGGTGGGTCGGTTTGGGGGAAGGGCTGCTGTTGGGAGTTGGGGACATTGAGGTGTTCGGGGAGCGAGACAAAGATGGGGTGGGGGCTGGGGTGAGGGTTGACTGGGAAGCCACCGGGGCGGAAGTGCAGTGGGGTTTGGGGCTCGGTGCGGGGTGTGGGGATGTGGGTCACGGAATTGGCCCTGGGAGACCGTCGTGAGGGGGTTAAGGAAGCGTTTGATTTACCGGCTGGTTCTCCTGGCTGGATGAGAAGTCGACATCTGACTAGGGAATTGGGTTTATGGGCTCTCATTGAGGGACCTGGGGGCAGGACAACTCCACAGGCTAACTGTATTCTGGGTGAGCGTAAGGTTTTTTTCTCTTTAGGATGTAATACCAGGATAAAAGAAAGAGGGAGGTTTAAATGGGGGCAAGGAAGGAACTTTCCTCCACATCTAGCACTAGCTCAAGTTTTTTGACCCTTCGAAGCATTGGGATGTGATCCATTGCCGGTTTTGAGATAATGCACTGATTAAACCACAAGTTCTGGTTAGAACCATTATCTTCTGGAAGGTGGAAAGACCGAATATGCCAAGCAGCAGATTTTGACTTTTTCATAACTTCCTCCCTCCACTCACCGCTTTTAGCTTGGCTCTACATTTTCTTGTAAGGGCCTAGCTCCTTATTATTGCAGGACCTGACTTGAGTTTGTTCCATGAGTCTTTTTGATTACTTTTTTTTAAGCAAGGCAAAAAAAAAATTAAAGACGTTATATTTAGTCATTTAAGTATGTCATGTGGGAGAATTTTACTTCCTTATAGTTGTGTCTATATAATTAAACATATTAAGTAACAGTCCCTTATACTTAAAAAGTGTATAAGCAGTCTAATGTTCTGTTAGAATTAAATATATCTTGATATTTATCATTCATTAATAACATTTTGGCAAAACTTATACTTCAGATTAAAAGTGGATAGGAGGATCTGGCATGCAAGAGAATGCTGTTATTTCCTCCAGGGTAAAATTGGTTTTCTTTGGTTCCTCTCCGGACCTAGGTTCCTCTTCTGTAAGTTTTTCATAGGTTGTTTGGACTAAAAACAGCTAATAAAATGATTATGAAGTACTTGGCAAATGTAAATGTGCTATATAATGCTTAACAAGTCCTGTGTGAGAATTAACACTCCTATAGTGTATACCAGTGATTTCAGAGCCACTTTTTTTTTTTAAGTTGTTGATAGACCTTTATTTTATTTATTTATATGTGGTGCTGAGAATCTAACCCAGTGCCTCACACATGCCAGGCAGAGGGGTGATTTTTCTCATGGTTAAATAATTGGTATTGCAAGAGGCTCTGGGTTCCATCTGCAGTACCATAGATGGACAGACAAATTCGTATTGTAATTAATGACACAAATATTTGTTGATTATATCGGTGGTGTAGTGCTAATTTTATTATTAGAAATTATAATAAAAAAGGAAACTTTAAATATGTTGACATCTTTTAAAAAATATTGTATTCAAAATTTGAAGTTTCTAAGCTTGCGTTTTGGGGATTTACTATTAAGGACTAAAAGATTCCTCTGACAGAAAAATTATTTGCTTTTCTAATCAGTTTCTCATATAGGCCCAGTTGGTGAAGTGTATCAAAATTATGCCAATTTGTGACTTCTTAGAAATAATGAACTTTTAATCAAACTTTTGTGTTTTGGTAAATAAAGGATAAATGATGGTCCAAATAAAGTCTTCCCTATGTCTTATTGCTTCATCTCTTTGAAGTGTATTTAATTGAGTTCTCCTGCAGGTTGTTTAATTGTTTGGATGGAATAAAGAGGACTCAAAAGTTTTTGAGTTAAAATGCTTTTAGGTATAGGTAGTTTAAAGGACAGTATGCTTTTAGCTTTTCCATTTTAGTCTAGGAAAGGGATATTTATTCTTATACTCTGCTTGTCTTGGAAGATGGCTTCGATACTGTGTCCTGTATCACATATTACTAGTTGTGCTGAAATGAAAATTCAGTGTTTTCTTTTTTTTTTAAAGAGAGAGGGAGAGAGAGAGAGAATTTTAATATTTATTTTTTAGTTTTCGGCGGACATAACATCTTTGTTTGTATGTGGTGCTGAGGATGGAACCCGGGCCGCACGCATACCAGGCGAGCGTGCTACCGCTTGAGCCACATCCCCAGCCCAATTCAGTGTTTTCTGATGTGTTAGTCCTGTAGGTTAATATTGCTCTCTAGAGTATTTCTGAATACTTCTCTAGCATTGCTAGATTGTACCATGTCTTTACCCTTGATGTTTTAAGCATAGTGGGTTCTCTTTTTTTACTTTATTTTTATTGTTGAAAGTCTTTAGTAGGGTCGTTACACCTCCTTGACTTCATGTGGTATTATACAAGTAGTAAGAACTTACTGTCACAGCCACAGATGTACCCCATGTTTATTGAATTTAGTCTTAAGTCATGATTTCATACCTGTTTTGTACTTGGTTGATTTAGCACTGGAAATTGTTAGTTTCCTCCCCTTCCCGCTGTTGGATATATGCAGTTGAAGTTGGTGTAAATCCTGGATTCTGGTCAGTGTAAATCCAGTTTACTAATTTACTAACCCATTATAGATTAGTTGAGCAAAATGATTATGATAGAATGTTTGTTATTAAACAAAAGACATAGCCTCTAATAAGTTTTTCTGTTTTAGTTTTTTTTTTTTTTCCCATCCCCAGGATGTTGTAATAGATATTTGTGTAAATATTTCTATGTGAAGAAAAATAGTAAATAAAGAGACAAATTGGGCAGGGAGAAGAGAATGGAAAGAAAAATTGTACACATTGCCTTCAATGTAAATTTAAAAGTATCAAGGTTTAGTGAGAGATGTAAAATGCCATTGTGAAGTAGAGATTGACAAACTTTTTCTGTAAAGGGAGGGATTATAAATATTTTAGGTTTTGCTGGGCACATACTTAATACCATACTCTTTGTTGTTATTACAACTTTTTAAACATGTAAGAGCCATTATTATCATGCTGAGGTACTGGAGGATAAAAGGCTTCGGGTCATCTTCCCACCCTTGAAACTGAGCTGGTAGTATTTTGGATCTGTACTGTTTTATTTATTTATTTATTTTTATGATGCTGGGTATTAAACTCAGGGTCTTACCATACTAGGCAGACATTCTACCAGTGAGATACACCCTCAGTCCTGTTTTATTTGAAATTAGCTGGCATCATTAAAATATTAAGGTATTGATTATTTTTTAATTGGATGTAACTTATTAAAAAAATCCTTTCTTTCTTTCTTTCTTTCTGTTTTTTAATATGGAGGATTGAACCCCAGCCCTTTTTAAATTTTGAGACAGGGTCTTGTTATATTGCTTAGGGACTTGCTAAATTGCTGAGGCTGACCTCAAACTTGTAATTCTCCTTCTTCAGCCTCCAGAATCACTGGGATTAAAGTTGTGCACCACCACGCCTATCTAAAATTCTTCTCTTTAAAGCATGTGTTTATTTTATTTTTGGTACTGGGATTTGAACCCAGGGGCACCTTTATCACTGAGCTACATCTCTATTCCTTCTATTTTTTATTTTGAGACAGGGTCTTGCTGAGTTACTTAAGGCCTCACTAAATTGCTGAGGCTGGCCTTGAACTTGAGATCCTCCTGCCTCAGTGTTCTGAGTCCCTGGGATTACATACCTGTGCTACTGTGCCTGGCAAAGCATATGTTTAAGAAAGTATTTTTAGCTGGCCATAATGGCATGTAGGCCCAGAACTCTGGGAGGCTGAGACAGGAGAATGACTGGAGCCCAGGAGTTCAAGGCCTGTGTGGGAGACCCCTTTTATTGTTTGTTAGTTTTTATTTTGGTACTAGGGATTGAACCCAGGGATGCTTTACCACCGAATTCCCCAGCCCTTTTTAATTTTTTATTTTGAGACAGGGTCTTTTTTTTTTTTTAATTCTTTTTAGTTATACATGGACACAATATTTTTATTTTGTTTATTTATTTTTATGTGGTGCTAAGGATCGAACCCAGTGCCTCACATGTGTGAGGCAAGTGCTCTGTCACTGAGCCCCAGCGCCAGCCGGAGAACAGGTCTTGTTATTATTAACTTGTTTCGGCCCTTGCTAAATTGCACAGACTGGCTTTGAACATATAATCCTCCTACCTCAGCCTCCCGAGTCACTATGATTACAGACATAAACCACTATGGATGTCTTGTTTGAGTTTAAAAATGTATCCTCAAAAGATTATTTTTATTGGGCATGGTGGCACATACTTGTAATCCCAGTGGTCTTGAAGGCCTAGACAGGAAGAGGAAGGCTACAGCAGGAGGATTGAAAAAAATTTGGGGGGGTGGTTCCAGGGATTGAGCTCAGGGGCACTCAACCATTGAGCCACATCCCCAGCCCTTTTTTGAAATTTTATTTAGACATATGGTCTCACTGAGTTGCTTAGCACCTCCCTGTTGCTGAGGCTGGCTTTGAACTTGCTTCCTGCCTCAGCTTCCTTGAGCTGCTGGGATTACAGGCGTGCACCACCACACCCAGCAAGGTTGAAAATTTAAGGCAAGCTTGGTGACACACTTATAATCCCAGCAACTAAGGAGAATTGCAAGTTTGAGGCCAGCCTCAGCAAGTTTTTGAGACCCTGTCTCAAAATAAAAAATGAAAAGGGCTGGGGATGTGGCTCATTGATTAAGCACCACTGGTTCAATCCCTTGTACCCCAAACCAAACTAAAAAAAAAAAAATGAATAGGGAAAATGAGTGGAGTTGAGGAAGGAGATTTACGGGGGTGGGAGGAAATGGAGAATGAAATTGACATATTGTACGTATGAGACCATATCACAGAGAATTCCACCT